TGTCATCCGAGGAGCTTTGTTGCATGTCATTGCCCATTTCACTCCCCTTATTTCCTATCATCTCTCTACTGTCAAATCTCTAATAACTTCATAAAAATGTCCTCCAAACCATAAATAAATGGAGTACTATAAAGTTAGTACAGCAGGTACGTTAAGAGACGGTGCTCAGTTATGTAAGGAGGAGGAGCGCACACATACAGTATGGAGATATATGAATATTTTGGCTGCAGATTTTGAAACTTGCAGCCAACTGGATTCAACACAAGGCAAAGAGACAGCATACGAACACACACAAACACACACACTCACACACATAATGTTGTAAGCAGAAGACAAGTAATGCCCCGCTCTCTCATCGCTCATTTCCACTCACATTCTACACCCTTTTGATGTCAGCACTTATAAATCCTCTTCCAGCCTCATTTAGAAAGCTGACTTTAAAAAAACCCTCAAAACACAGGTTACCACTTAGTGATCGGAGCAGAATGGCATCAAATAACACAATCGAGAATCATGCAAAAGCAGTGAATGTTAGGGAGTTGCAGTATAACGCACTGTTACTTGGTAGAATATCTAATCATGTGTGTACATGTGTGTTTTCAGATGACTTGAAATTTGATTAGAGCAACTGACTTCCACAAATTCACAATCCAAATCAGTATCACTGTGTTCATGAGCAAAATAAATACCATTTATTTTAATTAATTCACTATGAATTAGTATGAATAAGACCTTGCACACAAAGGGAAAACATTCTAGAGAATATTATAGAATTTGAAAAAGGCATCTGCCTAGATACACGTGTCATTTTCAGTAAGGATAAAGATGCCAAAGATGCATTTAATAAATTAAAATAAATTAATGCATAGGATGACCTACATACATGCACATTTATAAATACTGGACTGAGCTGATGTTCAAAATGTGTGATAAAGAATAACAACTGACTGTGGGCATTAAGTGAGCTGATTGTACATTTCCAAAAACAACTCACTATTATTTCCTTAAGAATATTCTTCTGAGTATTATCACAAAGGCCCATTGTATCTTCATATTTTGTAAATAAGGTGTTAGCCTGATCAAAGACTAAACGGCAGAATAAACTCTCTGTTCTGCTTTGTAATGAGTGACAGCACCAAATTTCTGTTTAACAACGTGACCTGTCTTTACAAATAGAGATACAAAGCCTTTAATGTGACGTCTAATAGCCACATTAATTTTACGCTGTATGCTCTCCTGTCATTGTTTGGTAATCACACACACAGCAAGTGTTTTACAAGAAACCATATCTGATGTAAAACCCCAGAGTGGTTGCAAATAAGTTCTACTTGGAAAAGCAATTAACTGAATGGAGCGCTCCTTCCGATTCCTGCTTCTGCACTTCCTGCTGTCATTGCACTACTGTAAGCCTCACTGCATCACTAACTAGGTTAGCTGTGCTACCTGTGCAATACAGTAAATCTCTGACCATATAGTTTGCAGGATGATCTGAGCTGGATGGACCTTTCAACCACTTCTCTTGATGGATAACTCATTTGCTTTTTGACGCGGTAGTTAATTAGGCTTGACCAAGGACCGTCTGTGTTGGCCAACTAGCAGATCTCTGCATGCTGCCTGACCGGATCATAAATAATGTCTCAGGAGTTGCTGTTAGTCAGCTCAGCTGGAGAAATGCAGACTAGGTGGTTTGCTGTGAGAGACTATAGAATACCCTTTTAGTTACAGAAAAGTGTTAGGGCTTAATTATTTTGAAAGTGGTGTAATTTTAGCTTTAATGGCTGAAGGATGGCGGTGTTTTCCCCAGCCCTACTTGTCTATCAGGTCTCACATAAAAATAAGCAATCAGACTGCACTGATACAATTTGTGCACATGGAAATGAATACTGCTGCCTGCTCACTTGCATATTGTCCAGTCTTTTCATTACAACCTTTATGACAGATATCTCCCTAAAAGTTGCATAATATGCAACGCTCTTCCAATTTAAAATATGCTTCTTTTGTGAACACATTCAAATGGAGGCACTCTTGTCCCCTAGCTTTAACATTAAAGGACCTGACAGAGACAGAGAGAGAGAGGTGGGAGGAAGGGACAGGAGGGAGTTGTTGAGTGTCTGCTGATGGGCTAACTCAATTTCAGGGAACACAATGGAGCCAGAGGCTGATTTCCAAAAGGCAAATTGTCATTCTGAGCGGTATGGCACCTGTCTGGTGAGTTCATCTCCTGTGCGGTGGGGGTACTCGGGGGAGGAGGCTGGGGACCAGAGGAGAGGACCACATTATGCTGGGCCCCGTGATGGGAGGGAATTGAAAGTGAAACTGTTTGAAATGCGTATGAAATGCATTGAAATGAAAATCGGGCAGGCTCTTATGGCTGCCATTGGAATCCATTCAGAAAGGCACTCAATTGGTTTTGACCAGATTGAGTGGGTGAACAGGCGGGGATCGAGTGAATCGACCCAGACAATGATGCTGTTGCCTCGGTGACGGACTGAGGACCCCGATCCCCAGGACTTCTGCCGCCAGTCCTTGTACTCTCAACCCCCCATCAATGTAGAAAAACACACACACACACACTCAGACACACATACACACACATACACCTCCTCCACATCTATTATTTCTCCATCTTTCAGACTGGGTGTACCATCAGCTGCAGGTCCCCCCCCCTTCTTCATCCAGTGCTCCAATTACAAAGCTGTCTGCACAGATTAAAGAGGCAGCCTGTCTGACAGCAGCTAAACACTTCAACATACACACACAAAAACACAAACTGCGCTGTGCAAGCAAAACAGTACATCTAACCCCATCAATGTCCAGACATCTGCACATGTACATCTCCTGGCTACTCTGCTCTATAGCATAACAACCCATTACTACTGCACACATCCGTCAGCTCAGCACACTTGACCCTATCGACTGTATCCACACACCTTCACAAAAAACCCCACAGCACATAGCAGGTGCTTGATGCTGCTGTCTGTCACATCCAGGAAGAAACAACAAGCCGTAATGAGAATGAGAGCTCCTAATTGAAGGTGCCATCTTTTTTAATTGTTGCAGAAACAATCTGCCACGGTTAAACTAGATAGTGTTGCATGTTCAGGTGTCTACGCCATCACAGCAGCTGTCTGAAAGGTTTTCCAGTTCATATCCCTGAGCTCACGCTGTGGCAGGTACTCTAATGCTAGGACACGATCTGAAGAAAGCAGACTAATCTTCTTCTTTATTATAGTCTTTTTATGCCCCCATTATTCACTCACCTGTCTCTTAGATCATTACCTACTTTACGTGTGAATAACTGCCCTGTGGTTAAAAAAACTATTTACCTCATTTTCACTACAATTTCTTCTACTCTATTCTGCTGTGTTAAATAATTCATAGTGAAATAACAAATAAAGGTAAATGTAAAAAACCCTTAACACTTCAGCTGCTCTGTTCAGAACAGAATGAGATTAAATCTTTCATTCCTTTTGAAGTTACAATGTGGTACGATTATTGCAAAAGGTATCTATAATATATATCATACTACAGACCTTTAAATCCCACCCTGAGTGGCTGATGTAATTTCCTCTTCTTTTTCTTTTTAACAAACCTTATAAATATCTCTGCACACCTGAATGTCTGACAGTTGCGTCGTGTGCCAGAAGTGTGAAAAGCGTGTATATCCTCAAGACATTTCATTTACCAAATGACACAATTTATATGGTCCTTTGATTGGGTAATTGACTTAGTGTCGATGTATATAGTGATGCTTGTTCATGTACCTGTTATTTTGTATGAAGCATTGTTTTAAACCAACATTTATTGATTTTTTTTTGGCCCTTTGGGTGCAGCATAACACGCTGTGAACACAATAAGACTGTAATAAGGAATTACCCACTTTTAGCAGACACAGAGCAATACTAATGTTCATTCTTTAATGTATAATTTTGTTTGTTATGCTTTCCATTTAGCTTTGTTTTGGTCTCCACTAACTGCTGAGGTAAATGTCTAGCTCTTACACAATGCTTCACTAGCTGGTTGATCTTTTTGTTTGCTGTTTGATACTGGTCAGGTAGTGTAAAGCCAGTTTATCAAACTGCTGCATCTGGAAAAGAGGGTGATAAATGCGGTAAGATCAAACCAAAGTTGTTGGCAGTAAAATCAAAGCAAAGAGCTCAAAAACACTCAAATGCTTCGTAGTGCTGAGAGGAACAGTAGATTCAGGTGACAATTCTCTGGGAGTCCCAAACTACGAGCAGTGCCTTTCAAAGTGTACACAGTCATTCTTTTCCCAACTAATATAAAAATATTGATTACTGCAGCTTTAAAAAGAAAAAAGAAAGTGTGTGGCTCTTTATTTCTGTATTGTGACAACCACTATAAACCAGCATTAGTTCTCCCCGTTATGAAGTGAGTTACTGCTGTATATACTGCAGCTAAAGATGATCAATCTAAGGGGTTTTAAGAGGTTTTGCAGTATTTTGCAACAACCTTCACCTTTTTATTCTTTGTGAGTTTTTATCAGTCTCTCTCTCTCTCTCTCTCTCTCTCTTTCTCTCTCTCTCACACACAGTTTTCATATTTCTCCTTGTGACCTCTTCTTGAGACTGTTCCATCCAGAGTATAACAAAAAAGGAAATACATTCAATGGAGTAAATAATTAAAAGACTGTGCATCAGGTTGTTGCTAAGACAAGTGCATTATTGTGCATTCTCACTAGTGGTACAAGAAAAGACTGTTCACAGTCTGATTCAGCTTCTTGCGGTGGTAAACCCGGATTATAATCATAGCAAACCATTGAGACGGGGGCGACAAATACAGTTAAAGGGATCTGCAACTAAGTTTTCTGCTTTGACACCAAATATTTAGGAAATCAAATGCCATTGCCCTATTACCAGCCTTCAGTGAACCAGTCTGACATGGAAAACAACAACTAACAAATGGGGTTGAGTGATCTCTGACGATGTAGTGCATCGCCTCTTCTTACCTTGAGAGAACGGGGAGGAGGAGGAGGGTCTGTGAAGTGCTGCTCTGATGCTTGGCTGCTCATGTTCACAAGGTGTGTGTTGCTGAGAATAAAGTGAGACAAAGAGATTAAGAGGATGGGAGGTGGGGGTCATGCATGCAGCTGGGCTAGCACGCTGGAATACAGAGTGTGAGGATTAGTTCGCCTCCCCGTCTAGACAGCTAGAGCTGAAGAGAGGTGAAAAGAACGATGTGTAAGACTTCAAAGAACAAATAATGTGTCTACCTAGTACCATATAGTCTTAAATGTCATTACTCTGTTATGCCTTCTTAAAACAACAGAATGTCAACTTTGCTAATCCAACTAATTTCCCCACTATTGTTTTAGTCTCAAGCTATAACCTGAACTTGACTATTCAAGTAAAATCCCCTCAACCATGAGATCCCCTGCTACTGCTCATGACAAATCCCTGTGACCTTCCCATAAAAGGATACGCTCTAGCATCTCTTTACACTGCGGTCTCCAATGGGAGGTCGCTGGTGCTCCGGTCATTACTGCAGGCCCATTTCCTTGCTCAGATATCACAGACCGGGTATGCGGTTGTGGCACTGAGGCTGCAGGCTGAGAGGGGTGAGCGAGGCATGATCTGTGGGCCTCCAACCACATCATGAGCAAGCAGGGATTCTGACTGCTGGAGCATGAAGTGGAAGCAGCCACACTTCATAAATCCTGTGCATCACGATGCTGCACATAGTCAGGGATGCAAAGCCCGGGGGAACAAAAGAATTGCAGTTCTTACATGCTGTGTTCAGCTATACAATATAGTACCAGGCATGCACCTGCATTATAGCCTACTGTCTTCAGGCAGCACAAGTATTGTGTTGTAATAGCTTGCCTTAGTAAACAGGCTCTTAATAATTTAAACCAATATTTGAAACTCTTGGTTTCTTGATTTGCTTGTCCCCTTGTATTGCTTGTGTCCACAAATACATATTACAGTATATTCTTTCTATAATTCTGCCTTAAAAGTGTGTCCAACCTCTGGGACTCAGCACTAAGTAGTCCCAGAGTTCCATTATCCTGCGGTCATCCATCAATCTTTCAGTAATTTAAAGCTGTGAAAGCACGCGCGTCCACCTTTACACTGCCTGGAAGAATAACAAACCAAACCAAGAAGAGAGTGAACCCTCTCTGTGTTCACACAAACACAGCTACAGAGGACGAATCATATCTGACGCTGCCTCATTGTAAGTGAATAAATTACAAGTGATTGTGCTTTGTAATGAAGGCAGTGGAGCATATTGTGCAAATGCTCTGCTTTTTAATGATTTAATTAGGAAACCTCACTCAAAAATTGGAGCAGAAAATTTCAACATGGAGATGAGCGAGGAGCTCTGCCAGAAAACGGCGCCGCGACTCAAGATCCTGTGTTAATTGCTGCAGCAGTCGACAGATGTGCCTCACGTTTTGCCCATTTCCTGCTTTATTAAAATTAGTTGGACCCCAAAGAACGCCAAATATTGTCTTCCTAAACTAAATGATTTACGACCACTAAGCGGCATCATGTCATTCTAATTTCCGACATACTCTACCCACTTTACAAAGGATGCAGTCTGTGGCTTCAGGCAGCTGAGCTGGTGTTAAATCATTAACTACAGCCATCATCAACTACTGATTTGTCCCATAATGACAAATGTAAAAGGGAAAAGCTTCCAACAACCAAACTTTAAAAATTTCCAATCTATCTTCTTCAGCCTCAATGCATACCACCAGTGACTAGACCTACTATTTTCACACCAACTGACTCCCCCATTGCCCCAGAAACTTTCAACTTTCCGGACGGACTTCTCCTTAATCAAACTAAACTACCCAAAAAGAAGTTGAGTAAAGTCAGTGCAGTCAGTTTGTCATGTGGACCAAAAGGGGACAGCTCGATGTGCTGTAGTGCTGCCCCAGACTGAATGCTGTGTCCCTCCGCTGACAGTAGCACAAGCATTAATCACCCAACTCATTAAGACAATCTGCACAAGTGCCCAGAGCTCATAAACTCTGGAATAGACCATCGTGACTGTTTTACCTCCTGAAGCATCTGCTTATTTACCTCTATATACAGTCAACCGCCCCATACAACCATTTCAGATGACACTGGGCTATGGCTGTTTATCTCCATCATCTCTTTTCATAGTCTTAGTTTAAATTCCTTATCCAGAAAGCCTTCAAAATTGGGTCTATTCCCCAAAATTCCACTGCCTATTAGTAGGCCACTTCATGAACTGTAGAGCTTAATAGTTTGCCCCAACTGTTGAATCACACAAGTGGCAGGTATTGTTTTTCTTTAAGTATGTGTGAATAATAAAAATCTTACTTTTCAATAACATTGGTGCCCAAGGAATTCCACTGAAATTGCAAACAAGGGAAATACAGGAAAGAACTTGATTTTTAACATTGATGCACTCTCAAAAAGTGCAAACTATTACAATGAATAAAGAATGAGCAATGTATCTGTCAAGAGCGATCCTGATTCTGTTGCCAAGGCAAGAGAGCATCGCCGGAGGTAGACTGCAGATAGTAAAGCATAAATACTTATCATTTCCATTAAGTTTAAGAGGAATATGCATAAGACTTTGTTGGTGCTGAGCTAAGAAAGCTCACACACAAAAAGAAAGCTTGCTCCAAGGTCCCAACTTGAAAAGACAGAATTATCTAATGTTTCTCACTGCTCCATCATCCAGGCACAGTGGGTGTACTTTTCATTGAAACAATATTTAATGGTCACATTGAGGCTATGAAAAGATTTTCTGCTCACACAGGCAGCCTCATGTTCTCCCAAGGCTGCATTAAAGGGAACAGTACGGTGCAATCTACTGCCATGATCACTCATGGGAAAGCTGTGAAAAAATCTTCAACCACGGAATAACATAAAAATTTGCTGATAATTAATAATTAATACCTTTTATTGTTTCAGAGTGAGAAAATGTTCTTCTACAAGGACTTATAGTATCAATGCACATCCATTCAAAAACACAGTTTTTAAATCTGTGTGTCCAGGTTCAAAGCAATGCCATTCTCTCAGAGTATTGACTTGTGAGGGATCAGACTTTTACATACTTGCATGTGACAGCCAGCAGGTTACGTGTGCAACCTAAGTTGCCATGGTGATACATACAGTGTGAAAAGTGAGTCACTGCATTGAGACCAAAAAGCCAGCTGGGGTTAAGCCCAAAGTTAGTTTTCTTACCACTAATCCTGCCTCATGGGACATAACCCAGAAACAGAGGTGACAAAAGTAACAGCAACCGCTGTGGTGAAAGAGTGACAAAGACGACTGAGGGAACATGGGGATTTAAGCCGTATCAATGACAGAGGTGAAGATAATCCCCTAACAAGCTCAGTGAGCAAGAAAGGCCAGAAATGTTTCATTGTGACAAAGCTGACCATGAGATGTTGGAACAGAGATGCAAACAAAGCCTGTTTTTAGTCAAAACAACAATAATCACAACATATTCTGGAGATGAGTAATCAAAATAGTACTCGCATCCAAGACCCCCCTTTTATCCCACCTTGGAGTTAAAAGAGAAGATACCACTAATGTCTGTCCCTTAAATATAAGGCTACAGCCAAGAGACAGTTAGCTTAGCTTACCTTAGCTTAGCATAAAGATTGGAAACGGGGAAACAGCTAGCCTGGCTCTGTGCAAAGGTAAAACACTGCCCACTAGCACCTCTGAAGCTCACTAAGTCTCCGCTGGTTGTCTGGCTGACAGAGTGGACCCATTCCTTTAACGGACACAAAAAGAGCCCATATCAAAATAATAACAGAGCAATTAGGGCTTTATTATTAAAAGAACATCATCACAATCCCATTTTGGAATGATCTAATTGGAGAAAAGTATGGTTCTTGCCTCTGAAGTATTTTATTACTAGAGGGAAGATACATTTGAATTAATTCACATCTTCATTCTATCCAACAAAATCTTTCCTTAGAGATATAAACGGGACATCGAGTCTGACTGCTTATTCTGTAAAGATTCAGATGAAAATGTTGCACATGCGTTTTTGGAAGTGTTCTCCAACAGAGGTTTTGGTCAGACATTGTGGCGTTTATTAAAACATTTTTTATTTCAGACCTCTCTTTTTGTTTTAAGGATGTTTTCTTTGGTGTGTTTTTAAGATGAATATATCTAGCTATGAGGACTGTGCTATTATACGCCACCATATGTGATCTCTCAGGACTGATACCAAAGCAAAATAAATTAAATTGATGCTATCATAGACTTTTGAATGAAAAGCCTTGTGTACTTGTTATTTTTGTCTACGTATTGTATATGATATTGTTTTTAATGAAGAAGAAAAAAGGGCCATGTGGGTTCTTAGAAGGATTGCGGATGTGGGCCCCAAGTGCAGCCCACATTGGCATTATTAGCAACCCACATTGGTAAAACAAACATGGGATCTTTATGGAGCCAACAGACAACATTTTATGGGGTCCTATGCCAGCTCATCATTCACCCATGTGAGGCCCACATGGGTATGTTGGCCAGGTGGGGGTCCAAAAATGGCTACAGGCCAGAATCTGAGCACCTGGCAAATTAAGTGTTGAGCCAGCATTTGTGATTAACAACTCTACAAACCCTGCAGTGACATACATCACAGTCACTCATAGATATGGGATTGTACAAATATTACAGCAGCTTTAAATCACAATTTATACTCAATCTCAAATGCTTTTAAACCTGCCATATGAACCAACATTGTAATGCAAGTGCACGGCTCACAAAGTCAGCGTGTGTGTGTGTGTGTGTGTGTGTGTGTGTGTGTGTGTGTGTCTGTGTGTGTGTATGTGTGTGTGTATGTGTGTGAACATGGTGCAGATTCTGGAAGTGGTAAGGGGGTGTGTATCCAAATCTTACAACCCAGTCACTCTCCCCAGCCCCTGCACAATTTTCACGGAGGCTGGGTTTCATCAGGTTTTGTATTTCAGACCTATTGATTATCTGCAGTGAGGGGGCACTGTGACAAAACCTCAGCAGGAGTTCTCCATCTGCAATAAGCCATGTGCCAAATACAGTCTCTCTCTCTCTCTCTCTCTCTCTCTCTCTCTCTCTCTCTCACACACACACACACACACACACACACAGACATTTCTCTGCGTCTGTACTGCCTCTTCCCTGGTTATAATCAGAGAGTGATACAGGAATATGCTCACTAATAAAAGTAGTTGGTTCTTTTATGAGATTATCCAATCTGCTGTGAATCAACTAAAACACTTTATTTCTTTTCCTTTTTTACAACACACATGTAACATTTAAAGCAGTCTTTCCTTCTGTGTGTTTCATTTGAAGGTTGCAATCGGTTAGCTGATCGATTCACCTTTAGTATGGGGCCCAGTGTCTGTAGTCCTCTCTTCCTAATCGATTCGTATCTCCCTGACCTTCCACTAGACTACAGGAGACACGCAGGTACAAACAAGATGGAGAGCAGCTGGCAGCCGCTTACTGGCCACACCACTAAACACACATTTTATAAAATAAGTTTAATGTTTCATGCTCTTAATTATTCATTTTGAGCCGTCGGGATAAAGATGAAGCCTTTACCTTCAGTTTGGGAACCAGCAGCAGCCTCCACTCAGGATTTCGACGGAACGTGACGTCCATCTAGTGGCGGGAAGAGGAACGGCTACACATTCACGTCACTGTCGTAAAAGAAAACCAAAGCAACGCGTTGCCTGCTGCCTCGCTTGACGGCAGTTCGTGATTTAAAAATTCGACATGGCTTCCTCGTTGATTTGCAGCGAAACTCAGAGCAGGTAGACAACAACTGTACAGAAATGTAATGTATTCATGAAGACGGCGAACCTACCTGTTGTGTTTGAACGACTGTCTCTCATTAGTCCAATACGGAACATGTTGTGCTTCCTATTCAGTGTGTTTACCTCCTGTTAGCCGTGCTCGTAAACGTGTAAACTAACGACTGGGGTGTTGTCGCTCCTGTTTCAGGGTGAGTTCAGTGCTACACAGAGATGTGAAGCAGTTTGGAAAGAAGTACATGTTTGACTGCAACGAAGAGACATGCTGGAATTCAGACCAGGTAAACCTTCAGCTCTGTACAGTAGTGTGCTGTTCGTGTTGTTAATGTACAAGAAATCAACATACTAAATAATTTCATACTAGACAATGATGATACACTAAGTGCAAAATGTTTACTTCAATAATGTACTAGCTACTAACTAACTCGTGTTTTTGTAGTTGTGAGCGCCTCCTTTTTTGTGCATTGCATTGTGGGAGATTGGCATACATCAACAACAGCATACTTAAAATGAAGCCTTTTTTTAGTATGTGTACTTACTAAGGAAGTTTTATTTTGTAAATGTGCCACTGTGAACACACTAGATTCTCAAAACTTCCTTACAGTTCCTATGTAGTATGGAATATAGATAACCACATACTTGGAGTCACAATGAATCATCATCAATGTCTTTGACAGGGTGAATGTCAGTGGGTGTCTCTGGAGTTCCCTGAGTCTGTCAAGGTTTCAGAGTTAAAGGTCCAGTTCCAAGGAGGCTTCTCAGCAAAAACATGTAGACTAGAAGGTAAAACCCAGAGAAGTTTTTTTTCCAAAACCGTCAGCTTAATTGCAAATGTTTCCTGATGTGATTATCCACCGCCTCTTCGTTTCCCATTGCAGACGTTAGGTGTCATGAGATAAATGGTTTTCCACTTGTGCTTTCTGCAGGTTGCCCAAAAGAGGGAGACCTTACAGTCATCAGCCATTTTTACCCAGAAGACAACAACTCTCTTCAGATATCCTTCAGTGTTACTGTGCAGCATTTGATAGATTTAATTGATAGCAGGTTAAATTCTGCTGCATAAATGCCGTAATCTCTGTAACAGATTTTTAAAATCCAATGCCAAATGGGGGAAGCAACATTTTAAAATAATAACAAAGCTTATATACATGTCTTGACTTACCCGTAACTGCCACTGTAGCTATAAATGTTACACTTGACCCTTGATTTAACTGCATTAATCCTAGTTTGCAACCAAAGTTGATGCGTGCCAGAAATAATCTTTAGACTGACAGGCTACTTTATCAGACGGATTTACTTTCCACCACCATTTTTTTCAAACAGATGGTTAACAGAATACTTAATTTTATCCTGCTTTAACACATTATAAATTCAGTCTGTCAGACTGGGTTTTTACAGCAGCCGAAGCTCTACCTGTCACTCTAGGAACGCTGTGTGTTTCCTGTTACTGCTCTAGATGGTTCGTAATAAGTATCAGACAATATTTTCCTGAACATGCTTTTCATTTTTACCATGCTTATCTTTTTCTTAACTCCACACCCACAGCTTTCCCATACAGGAGGCCCCTGCAGTGGACAAAGTAAAAATAATGTTTGAGAATAGTGCTGACTTTTTTGGGAGAATTATTGTTTATTCCTTGGATGTCCTGGGGGAAAAGGCTTCCTGACCATTTTTTTAAAATCATCTCATGAGAGAGGAAATGGCCCCTGAGTCAAGTACATGATGCAGGATGGTGTGGTGGCACTTGGGAAACATGTCATCTGTACTGCCACCTCATGAACTGATGTGAATGTGGCCTTTTTTGGTATGAAAGCTTTCAGGGATGTGTCTAGCTATCTCACCCTTGATAACTCAAACACAGAAGGCTTGACATGGAGTCTGAATCTGAGTTTTAAATGCAGATTGTTGTGATCATATATCATTTTGTTATCACGCTCTCTATACTTATATTGTGCCTTTTGAGTTGAAGCATCATTCCAGTGGAACACACAGTATAAAAATACATTTTTATTAAAACTTGTTTACAGACCTTTTTCTGCTGCTCTTCAGCCAAACAAAATAATTCTGCTGCACAACCATCACATTTGAGTCCTTGTTTGTACAGTGTTTGTACATTGTAATGCATACAAATGGAATAAACTGTTCAAAAAATAAAAATGCAGTTTAGTTTAAATGTCTCTGCATATGTACTGATCCATTACAATGACTTGATCTTGTCACGGAGGTCGTCATCTCACCACTGATGATAGCTGGTCTTAGATCTGAGATCAACAGTGTCAGACTGCCCTTTCCATTTATTAATTTTAATTACTGTCATGTTGGTGGCTTGTAGAGTTTCAGTATATGGTCCTCCAACACTTTCTGAACTAGGAGACAAATGAGAAAATGTTAATTCAGCAAAACCTTTTTTACAGTAGCCTCTTATATGAGAAAATGAAATTGTCAGGTATATGAAGACTACATACTCTTTTTGTGTCCAAGGGCAACAGCTAAGGCCATGGGACTGTACCCAGAGTCCGACTCAATGGTCATGTCTGCCCCTTTGGCTGCAAGAGAGTACAGTGAGTGCAATTAATAAAGCATTCAAACTGAATTTGACAGAATATTTCACATCATAGACATGCAATGTACCTAAGAGTGCCTCTACACATTTGATGTGGTTCCCTCGTACAGCGTACAGAAGAGGGGTCCCACCATTCTGAGAGAAAAACACAAGAGTGTTCATTAAAAAGAAAAATCACATTGTGGTTATATTTCAGTGTTTTCGTCCATTTTAATTATTTGTGTTGGCTTGCCGTAACTGAATCTTATGGATTTGTAATGATGTGTCTGACATAAAGAAGGTCATAATGTACCCAATCATAAGTGTTAATGTCCACTCCATGTCTGAGAAGAGACTCAACAATGTCCACATAACCTCCAGAGCTGGCCAGTGTCAGGGCACTCTCTCGCTCCCTTGCAATTGTTTTGGGGTCCGCACCCTAAAACAAAAATACCATAAAACATCACCAAGATGATGCATTTTGTCATATCAATATGTGCATGTCTCTCCGGGCAGCAGTAACTTATTTCTTACCTTCTCCAAGAGAAAATCCACCACTGCTTTCTCTCCAAACGCTGCTGCCCACATGAGAGGCGTAAAGCCCCGTTCATCCTGTTTGCTGAGCAGTGAACTGTCTGCAATATACAACAGGTCACAGACTATCTGTTAGAATATTGTACAACTTAATGCTGGAGAAAATGTCCATTGTGTTCTACTTTCTGGTGTCTGACGGTGACATCCAGATTCCTCACCTTTACTCAGGTGTGCAGCCACTTGTGAAACCTCACCTTGAGCTGCCAACTGGTGTATGGACAGAGCTGATGGAAATAAAGTCTTAATATCCTCTCATGCTCAAGAAAATGAAAATACCATGCTTGCTTGCTTGTCTAACACAGTGTCACTAGCTCTTTGCCAGTACTTACAGTCTAATGTTGCCGGGCGTACTGTAACCTCATTCCCACGCTGCTTGTTGGTCAGAGTGGTGGAGTGTTTGAACAAACCCTCTTCATCCACATCCATGTTCTCTGGAGACACTGACCCATTCAGATGAACCACAGCCATGTCAGTGGAAGCAAGATATATATCTGTTTAATTGATTATTGTGAGGCTACAAACATCGGGTGACTGCACATGTTATACAAAAAAAAAAAAAAAAAGGTAGGAAGCTTGTATTAAAAGATGAAAGCTAAAAAAAAAAGGCACAGTTACCACTGGACCGCTCGTCTCTGGACTCGGACGGACAAACATTAGCGTTTTGTCCATCTGCAACCTCTTCATCACCTCCGGCCTCCATGATCACTGCAATAAAAAAACAAGACATTAACTAATAAATAACACGGTGCGGGCATGGAGGAAAAAGTAGGCAAAATTAGTTTATAAAGCCAGGGACATTGTCCACTCACCACATCCAGCCTCACAGTCTAATTTGCGCTAACTTCCTTTTGGGAAAACTGAAAGTAAATAATTTCATGTCACACGGCGGACCTCGCTGCCCATCGCAGTGTGCCGAGATACATTACTCACCGCTCAGTTGATTAGCTTTTCAATTAGTCAATTATTTTGACGAGAGAAACGAAAACACGTTTGACTCAACCTAACGCATCACGACAACTGGTACTCTTTGAAGGAAGAACTGTTTTTTTTAATAATCGGTATTTCTGTCCGGAATATTGTCGTGTGACACATGACAACAAAAATACGGAAGGAGGAAGAATCAGGTGACACAAACTCGCGTACAGCGGCACTGTGTTATCGGTTTAACCACCTTTCATCATGGAGGACCAGGAGATGCAGCTGAAAGTTAGAAGAGGTACTCACTAGCAAACATAAATGAGCATACAACTTACCTCATTGTTACCTTTGCGACGCTGCGACGGAGCTAGTAGCTGTTAGCTCACGGTAGCCGCTAAGCTAATGCTCTGCTAGCACTGTGTTTACATCGCTATTTGTCCATGTCCCCGTGCTTTATTGGATGTTTCCCACCGTTTCTTGTTTTAAATTTCTAACACGGGTCGTGTGGTCTGTGCATTTGTCTGTGCTTCTTTGATCCTACAGTGACCGATAAGTTTACGGAGAGCATGTACGTCCTGGCTAACGAGCCGTCAGTGGCTCTCTACAGACTGCAGGAGCACGTCAGGAGGTCCCTGCCTGAACTGGTGCAACACAAGGTAAGTTTACCCTGTGTCATGTTGTTGGAGATGAGGAACATGTAAAAGGAATTGGACATTAAAGGGAAAATCAACAAAGTTTATGTAGTGCTATTCCAATAACCTTAGACAGTAACATTTGCATTTGGAAACATACAGCTGACCCTAATCTATCAACTGTTAGGCGATGTGAGATGACACTTTGTAATAGGTTTGTGTATTCACTGCTCGGAATAAGAAAATGCCTTCACATCTGAGTTAAAATTCACTATAGTTGTTGTTATTTCAGAGCATTTCACTCATGCCACAAAATAGTGGTTGCTTCATATGTGCACAGGGTAAACAACAAGTGTGCCTCTGCTCTTTATTTTATCGTTAAATGGCCCCATCAGTGTGTCCCTGCTATTAAATTAAATGCAGAGTTATTTATTTATTATATATTACATCAGTAATGACATAACATGTATGAATTCTGCTTTAGCCTGTATTTTCCCTAATTGGGTTCGGTTGCTGTTTCTGACTCTTTTTTTTTTTAAGCCATAAAGGTTTGTTGTTGAACTCATCATCCACTTTTAAATCAGGAGGCATAGCATGGTGTGTGTTTGTGTGTTGCTGGTGGTAAAAAAAACCACACCACTTGATTCTGTAATACTAGTATAATGTTGGTTGTATTTTCTGTCATGTCTCACACAGACAGACATGCAGAGCTGGGAGGAGCAGAGTCAAGGAGCCATCTACAGTGTAGAGTATGCATGCAGGTGAGGAGAAGCATAGACCTACATATTTGCAGAATTCCCACTGCCCCGCTGTCATGACTCTTAATGGCTCTAATAATGGCTCTTTTTGCAGTGCTGTGAAGAGCATGACGAACAGTAGCGTGTATTTCAAAAACATTGACAGCCTCCTCCGTCAAGCCATCAGCATGAAGGAACAGATTAACAACTCGCAAGGACGCAGGTAGGAGGCAGCAGTGAGATTGTAATGATAATACACAAACATATCTATATCATGCCATCATGCATTAATTCATGGGTTTGTTATTTTTAATCTTGGTGTTAATGCTATCCATTCATCAGATAGGATCATTGCTGGTTTTGTGGTCCTTGCCCCCTTCCTGTGCTTTGTTGGAACTAATGTCTACTCAGAAAGCAACAAAATGTGCAAACTTAGATGCTCAACAACCAACAATTTGTCGATCGCTAAAGTTATCTCCTGGTGGCTGTTAGCTAACTCAACTCTTTCATATGCAACACAAGCTCATAGCTGCTTCAAAGAACTGTTTGGTAACCGTCACTTGAACTGAACTACATTTTTTAAATTTGGAAACCTTTTATGCAAATGCACTGCCTGTGGGTATGAGATATTTGAAAGGTAATTTATGTATGACATCCATTATAAAACATATCTCTACAAAGCTCGTCAGGCGAGGGGGGTGTAAGGGTGTTTCTTCCAAAATAGCTGTGTCCGTACCCAGGACTGTTTACTCATTGTTTAATCATTTTAGAAGAGTCATCATTGGAGGTTGATTTCATAAACATTTATCTTTCCAAACCAAAAATATTCATGTAATCTTTGTCAATATTTGAACAAGCCAGAGAATTATAGGCTATTACTTATTTTGGCAAGACCACCCACCCCTACTTAAGTGTCAAAGATCAACTCGTGATTTCTTCTAATTTAACATTTTCCTAAATCTCTTTATATAATTCACAAAGTCTAAAAATGAGAATAATCAGTGACTCAGTGTCTGGAGTTTTATCCTGTTTGTGTTCATTCTTTGCTCCACATCATACCTTTGTTTGTGTACACTCTTTGTTTCTATTTGTTTTATTTAATCCCTCATTTATAATCATTTGTATCAGTTCATACTTTTACCTTCAGTTTCTGCCAATTTATTCCCATAATAACTGCAAAATGAAATTTTTGTAGTTAATGGGAGCTTCATGTTTTCTGTTTTATTTTTCGGTGCTGTTTTTTGTTTCCCACTGACACCTGCATGAAGTTTAAGTGATGTGACCCCCTCTCCCAGTCCCCTTGTCCCTGCTCCACATGCCCCGTCCACTTCCTCATGACCTCTGGACAGAGGTGTCCAAGGTTAGTAGTTCTTCCAGACATAATGTAATCACATTGTTTTGACATAAAAATAACAATCCCTTTCAGAAATTATTGAATTCAGCATTTAAATTACATTGAAAGTGATTGTGAACATTATTTTAATGTCTTATTTATCTGTCAGAAAACATCCTACTTTTAAACTGAATTATGTTTCCTCAAATTAATTCATTAAAAGTTGAACTACTAACCCATAACCTATAACAAAACACATCTGAACATTTTGCACACATATTTGGCAAAAAGCCACCCTTTACAGCCGAATGAAGTATTTACATTATGACAAAAAAGCTATAAATGTGCCATGTTGGTCCTTGGGCAACATTGGAGTGTAATGAGATTTAAATTCATTTATACAAAACACTTACAATTATACAAAACTTGTGCTCAACATGTTCAAATCAAATCAAAAATGCTCTAAAATCTGGACAGGAGAAATCAGTTGATGAAGTTGAAATCTGCGTGTGTTTTTCAATCTCTGTCGCATGTTGTCTGCAGACAGTCAGATTAAACAAGCGGAGTGAAAAAGGTACAAATTTACAGTTGTACATCTGTTTGAGATGACAACTGTGTTAGCAGTCAGCTAATCGGTGCCTTTAACCCCGAGCTGTGCCTGCTTTGTGTCACACAAGAGTAGAGTCTTTTGCCGAAATCCCTGACTTGCGCGCAAGGACACTTCTCATCTCATTGTTGACCCCATTCCAGGGTTTAGCCTGGGCCTGCAGTAAGCCAGATTCAGTAGACAGGGTCCTGTGCATTCTGGGACAACTGCCACCACTGCTGTAGCCGTCTTTATCACTTGCGTTGCCCTGGGAACCTCCAGCCGGGGAGTACTGCTGTTGCTGGTACTGTTCCCGCTGTCTCGGGTTGCTATAGTGAGGGTAGGAGATGGGATGCTGGATGTGAGACTGGCTGCGGTGCATCCGCGGTTTGTCCACACCAACTTTGAGCTCACAGGATCGGGAGACAGGCGTGCTGCTGCTCCCGTGGTCATTCTGGTAGAGGGTGTCGAGGTGGTCATCGTGATAGCGCTTGGCACTACAGGAAGCTTTGACCAGAGAGTGGATCACAACAACCAGTAGGATTAAGATCCCTGAGGAGAGTATGCAGGCACTTGCGATGCCTGTCTCCACCTCAAATATCAGCAGCATGAAGATGGACATAGCTGCCAAGGAAGAGAAAGAGAATTTATATACACAGAAACACTAAATGACTAACTTTAATGGGCCAAATAAGTAAAAGTTGTTCTTTTTACTTGTATCTCAGTTTGCTGTTAGTTTAAATTTTTGCTTCATTTCTATGTTCTTATTACTTTATCCACATCACACTGATTGAATGCTTTACAAAAATGTACTTAATATTGTTGACATAAAAACTAGCAGTTTTTATCTAAGTTGTCCTATGTTTATTTCTAGAAAAAGGACTATGGACTCAGGAATGCTGAAGGAAGGGGGAGAAAAGCACAGCTCTGGGATGTGATGTGACTTCCTGAGCCGGTGGTGTTGCTGCTACAGTCGCTTGCTCTGCTACCTCTTGATTGAGTCTGAAGGGGGGTCGTAAGGGCGACACCTCCTCATCACAATGGAGTGACTGCCTCCAGTGACCCCCACAGTACAAGCCGCTCAGTGGAACAGCGCACCACAGCACTGCCAGGTTCAGCATTAGAAACACTTAAGTCATGGACGCTGCTCAAAGAATGCATTGTTCTCTCAGACTCACTGGACGGACCAGAGAGAAAGCAGACGTGCTGCTTTTGCCTCTGCCGTTGAAAATCCACTGCACCGCCAATGTTTTGGACACACTTTCAGGTCTTTGTGAGTTTCTTGTTAAAGTACCCTGCATGCAAATTATAAAAACTCAACACATACTCAAGGAAATGACAAAAACGTGGCCTAGAAGGCAATAACAGGTGCCCAGTTCTAACCTGTATTTAAGGATAAAATATCTGTATACTGCCAGATTAGCCACATTCTTAAAGAGAAAATCCAGATTCTTACAAAATAAGAAAATCTTATTTTTCATTCTTTTGTTCTTACCTGCCAAATAGACAGAAACACCGAGGCAGAACAGTCCAATAGCCACATGTCGTACAGCTCTGCTATCCAAAAGGAACCAGTCTGCTCTGTGGACACAAATGTCATATGTTTAATGTTGTTGCTCAGACCTTGATGTTTTACACTTTAAAACTGCTACTGTACTTTTCTCTTCAGTGCATAAATGAAGATGATTTTATCCAACAACTCATCAACTCATTTCCCTTTTTCTTTTTTTTTTTTTTTTTTTTTTTTACTATGCAATCAAACTTTTCTTGGTCCTTTTTATTTATTTCTCCCCTGGTAAGTTTGCACATCAGAACTTAAAGTCCTAAAACATTTTATTGTTGATTATTTGGTTAAATGCTAGATATTTTGTGATGCTCATTATTATTCACATTTTCTTGGAATGTCCCCTCTGTCAGTAGGGAGGTCCTGGGGTATGCTGTTGGATTTGTATACTGATGTGGGAAAGGGCCAGCGAGAGGCTGTGTGCTGGGTGCATAATGAGAGGAAGGCCATTGTTAAGATAGGATTCATAGAGGTTGAGAGGTGGGGGTTGACCAACAACACTGCAGTGATGGCCTCTGCACTCTGACACACAAGGAAGACCCATTTATGCTTCTGAAACTATGTTTTCTTTTCATGAAACTTAAAACAGTCAACCCAGATCCCCTGTGGTTAACAGAGAACAATTATAGAAGATTATGTGGCCATGGGCAGACACACTCAACTGATTAAATGTTAATTTCCACTTATAGCAACATTGTTTAACAGTGACTGCATTACCAGAAAAAAGGAACTTAAGTAGGATGTAATGCAGTGCAGTGCTGTAGCCTTAAACTTTGTTTTGGTGTTGTTTTTCTCTGCCTTATATTGGAAGTTGCAACATATTATTTTGCTTTTCTTATTTGCATATGCGGTAAAGCCAGAAACTACAGCCTCACAAATTTAACATTGGTTAAATTAACTTCTTTACAGCATAGCGTCAAAATAAAGTTTGCCATTTTTATTACAATTCTTATTACAGAGTTGTAGTATTGTTGCATTACATAGCACAGTAGTTTCTATAATCCAGGCCATATTTCACCTAAACCAGTTAAATGAAATGATGTAGCCTAACTTTTGCTCAACAGTAGCCACTTTTGCCACAATTGACAATTACAGAATAAAAGTACATGCTAAAATGTGGTTTAACAATAGCAAGTAAACTGAGTCATGGCCATTTTACAACAATATCTATCAGTCTGCTAACATTAGCCACCTAAGCTTCTGGTCATACCAGACTGAGTAAGGCTACAGCAGGAAAACTGCTGAGCAAGGGTGGGTTTTAATACTAATAAATTCAACTTTTTATTAGTAAATTAAGATTGTTTTATTTTATTTTTTTAAATCTAAAACCTAGCTAGTCTCGCTGTAAAAAAGTTGCCATCCCGCATAAGAGGTGCGTATTAATATTGTAATTAACTGTAACGCATCACAGGTGTGCTTGAGCCTTCAAACGTGACCCAGCCTATCAGAACCGACCGGAACTATCTGTTTGTGACCAATTTGGATCAACAGCAGCATAATACCAGTGAGTGAAGCGGCTGACAGCCCTGTCGCAGTTTCAGGTGTCTGTGTGTTATATATATTTTTTTAAGCAGGTGGAAGAAGAAGAGGTGCGTTACATGCAGGCCAAATACCTCTCAGTATCCTGGTCTCCTCTGCAAACCTCTGTTGAAAAGTAGCTGTGGAGAAGACACACTACCACAGAGCTTAAATGGAGGGTGAGGGACAGAGCGGAGAGCACCGTGGAGACCGGCAACAGCACGCCCCAGATATGAGCGGGTATAACCGAGGAGGTGGAAGGGGGAGACTCCTTCACCGCCGTCTGTTGAGACTGAAGCTGGAAAATCAAAATGACCGATAAAACAGACATGATGGCCGATAAAATCCCCAGTAGAGACAGCACTAGCAGAGACCGCTGGCTGTACTTGAACGTCATCTTTCTCCTAAATCCCCGGCGGTCAGGTTTCTCCAGAGAATAAACAGTTTCCCCCTTTTTTTGCCGATCGTACTTTCTTTCTTTTGTTGTTGTTGTTCAAACACACTTCCTAAACTCCCAAAAAGTACGCTGGCATTGCAGTGTTGATGAAATGTTTCGGTCCTTTCGGGATGAACAGTTTCTCCCCCAACATGGATTTTTTCTTGCGGTAGTTTGCCTGTTGTGGTGGAGCGCCCCGCTGCCCAGTCTGAGCATGTGATGTGCTTTAAATCCCCCAGATTAAAAACTTCGCAACAACAATGGACTTTTTCTCTTGGATCCTCGGAAACAATGCGTTGACGTGCTCCTGGGATAGGGAGAGCTCACTGACTAAACACAAAACACCATGACCGAACAAAGGACATTAAAACAGTCCATTCACACCACTCAAGTTAATACAACTTGTAGCTACCTAATTAAATCAAATAAAGTGTGAATTGCACCCAAAAAAAGTACATTAAAAGCATCCTTTTTAGGGGAAAAACAGACCTGAAATGACTCAAATATTTCCTTGTGGCAATAATAGATTAGCCTACTTCTTATGCTGGGATGTAGTCTCCTATCCTCATAAAGTGATTAAAGGATTACAGTTCAACAGGCTATTAATATTCTACTATCTAACAATAAAAGATATGAGCAGAAAATGACACGCACATCATAGAATAAAGTAAAATAAAATGTTCTGTGCACAATGAGACCATGGCAGGTGTACATTACAGCTAACCTTTGAGGAATTTGCAGCCGCAGCGGCCACCTCAGCTCACCCCTCTTCGTTGTAGAAAGCCCCTTTTATTCTTAGTCCAGCTCCTCAGACTCTCTGAATCTAATTAACTTTTCACTTGTTGCTGTGGAAACATGCACAGTTTACCTGAGATGCACCTTTTCTTTTTCTTTTTTTATTGCATCCACTTCTTCTATACCTGAGGTTTTATATGCACATTGCAACCATGTCATAAAATAAGTTGCCTGTCCAATATCTGCCTGATTTAGTAGAATTGGTACTCAGTGTTCTTTTCACGTATACCACTGCTGGACAGCAAACACCTTGACATACTTAAAGTCTGTGTCACGGAGGCCTTATTGTTCTGTTAGAGGTTGGGGTTTGGTGTGTGTGTGGGGGGGGGGGTAAAGGTGTAGCCCTTATTCTGTTGAGATGTAGATAAGACTGTAGCTATATAGGTACACAATGTGAACAATTGCTCTCACACATGTATACTGACCAGGGAGGCTATTTCTGAATCCGACAGCCTCACCACATGCTCTAAAAGGGTCGAGGCTGATCTTGTCGAAAGCAGAAGTGAGAAGTTTCAGGAAAATGAAAAAAAAAATGGACTTGATACGGAAAGTTCTCAAAGGCACCTTTATCTCTCTCTCTACTTTCTGGTTAATGGCTCTTGCGTTATGTGTTTATCAGTAATATTTAATAACTGTGGTTGCAATTCAGCCTTCAGCTTGACGGCTCACAGTGTCCAGAATAAATGTATGAAGAAAACACTTGCGTAAACAGCACAGTGAGAAAATACATAATTTCTCCTTAGCTGCTGGTGATTAGCTTGCTGTATTTACAGATGGGGGTTTGCACTATCCTCTGTCGGATTCACGGGGCCCACACAGGTGAATCCTGGAGGTAAAGGCTGTGGCAGTCTGCAGGGATGTTGCTAACTATTGCATCAGATGCACAGCGTGAGCTACCTCTTGGGGATCTCAATCTGCGTGTGATTGTGCGTGCATAGCTCTGTGTGTTTATGTCTGTGTGCGGATATGTTTGTCAGTGTACGTGTGAGAGAGAAACAGAGTTGTTGTCCACACTTCCACAGATGATCTGTGCTAATAAATTGTCACTATATTATTTTTAGGAGTACATTGTGTCACATCCCAAAAATAGTCAATAATTCAGCTCATGCAGTGATTCAGTTATTACCTCTAAATATATCTATTGAGCTGACAGCATGTCTGTTTTCCATTAGTGTCTTAGCTTTGCTTTTCTGAGCATTTTATTTCTCTTTTATTCCCTTTTACCTCTGTCACTGCTTTCTCTTTAATTAGCGTTACACAGGGACAGCTAATAAAAATACATGATAAAGCTAAAGTAGACTGAACTCAGACAGAAAGACTGTATATGATGTTTTAATCCTGGTTAATTTGTGTGTTTTTAAATAATCTTATATGCACAGTGGGTGAACACAATAACAGCAACCACTGTACAATATAATACAGTCTAATACAAATGTTTATTGAGGCTGTCATAGAGTTGTTGATTGATACATTATAGCTTGTTGTTAGATGTTTCTGTAATTTTGTCCAACCCATAGGCCTGCATTTACAGAGGTAGACAAAATTACAATTATAGTTTCAGTTCACAGCCTCAGTTAGGGTTCAGTTCAATAACCAAATTAAACTGGAATGCATTTTCAACGATCTAATCATAGCAACAGCAGAACATAGCCATGATGTATAGGAGAGGCAACTCTCACTAAATCATATACTGATGATACTCAGACACTACACATATATGTATATGACATCCAATTAACCTGTAGGGACTCAGTAAATTGCCAAAGGACACTTCAGCAGACAGCCTGGCAATATACTTGAACCTTCCTACTTCGGTTGAAAGATGGTCTATTCTACCAGAAGGCCACTCTGACATGCAGAGCCCTGTTAATAAATAACACTGCTTTTATTTTTTTATTTTTTTGATAACAATACAACAATAAATTATTGATCCAGTGATCCATTATCGAAAAGCACATAATGTGCACCAAGTTTAAAATTACTTGTCCTTTCAGATCATGGTTGATCATTTGAAAAATTACATGCAAAAATTTGTTTTGTAACCATGCTGCAATTAACAGCTTTAAAATTCCACTAAAAGGTGTAATTCCTCTAATTTCACACATGCTAAGAACATACAGAGTGCAGCTTATAGAACCCTGAATAGTGTTTATACATAGTTTAGTATTGCATAGTTTTACTTTGAAAAAGTAAAGTAGACATTACTTTGTATCAGTGGGTCAAAAAATAGAAAAAAAAAAGGTTAGGAGTCACTGTAAGTTCCTTCAGGCCTTTTTTCTGTGGCTACCCAAGTTCATATACATTAAGCATATTAGCCAGCGATCATACCGCATGACTTCATTGTCTCATCTAGATCTAAACACTATACAGTCTCATTTTATCGATTAGACACCATGTTTGAGACAGAGAAAGGACAAAGAATGACTCATCACAACAAGTGGTAATAGCCCCAGAGAGAGTGTATCAGTAGAGTATTTTGGTCTTACCACAATCTTTAGTCATTATGTATTAATTTTATTTAAGAAATGTCAAAACGTTATCAGGAAATCAGCAATGATGCCAGTGTGACAAAAGCTGTTTTCCTCAGAGGATCCATTAAAATGAATAATGGTCCAATCTTATTTTGTAATATTTTCTTTGCACGTTCATACTTTTTCATGTAATATCATATAACTGTGATGCTTTGGATGTTGTTTTGCAGACTTGTCCACACCTTATATCTTCAGTTTTTTTTTTTTTTTTTAAACAAAAAATATGCAAATTGTACATCACAAGACTCCACTTTCCACTTCCCACTGTCACCTCCCCACCCCTCCTGTGATGAAATTCTACATAAAATCAAAATTACTTTAAAGAAAACAGCTGCTTTGGGACACAATCTCATCAAAAAGCTTTTGCTGTCTGTTCTGTAACACGGATCTTTTCCCCCAGCAGCCCCTTGACATGAGTGTATGCAGGGTAACTTGTGCTGTGATCTCGCTGACAGCCCTGAGTGACTGCTGGTGCGTTTGAAAGGCGGGTGGGAGGTGGGGGGAGTGTGTCCAATGGCACGGCCGAGGAGGCGGTGTATGGTGACAGAGAGAGGCGGGTTGCAGCAGCCAGCTGTTGGAAAGCAGCGCTCCTGAACCATCCGCTACTACTGCACCAGGTGAATATCTTCAACATCACCAACCCGAGACAAGACTTCTGCTCACTAAGACACATCTGTGCGTGCGTGTGTTTATGCGTGTGTGTGTGTGTGTGTTTTTTTTCTTTTTAATCCGCGACTTTTCCTGTTTGATTGGTCTCGATCAAGTGGGTGAAACTCGGAGGCAAACAGAAGAGAAGACCGAGAGCAGGTGAGATCAGATGTTGTGTTTTCTGTGTTTTGAAGCGTTTACTTTTTTTTTTTTTTTTTTTTTTAGAATCCCTGTTGTTCAGGATTATGATGTTGTCTGTGTGCCAAGATTTTGTGACACAGCAGTGAGTGAAATACCTGTTGCTGTGTTATTGACAGCAGCCTATAGATGAGGCTATATTAGACAGGGATGCTTGGCAACTCGGGGACAGACGGGCTATTCTTAAACGGTCTATTTTGAATGACGTCAGCAATTTATTAGGTCTAATTATCCGCAAACATTTTTTTTAAGCTATGTATTTTTACAGTTTTTATATTTAGCTTGCTGTGCAAATGAATCCGCGTCCTTTGGATACAGACACATCCCATGACTGTTTGAACCCATTCACTACAGGCTGGGTTCATCTTCCTCTCCCCCTTCAACCTGTTGCCTTTTTCAATCCTTTTGTCTTCTCGGTCTCATTCAAAATATGCACTGGTAACTCTCATGTTTTAGGGAGTGTGAGATAATTAGCTAATTTAATTTCCTTATATTATATTTTCATTCCGAAGAGCAGTCAGTTGTCATTAAGGTGTGTCTCATCTTCACACACAAACAGCTTAAATAGAGTCCTGAAAAGTTTTTTTTTACTCTGTTCATGGAAAGATCAAATGTTCAGCTTGTGCCTTCATGTACTATTGCTATTCTGGCTCTATCAAAAATATCAAGGCAATTCAATTATCTCCTGTTAAAATTAGACAAATATTTCCTCACCATTACTCTGCGAAGGCCCAGTGAGTGAACTGTCTGACCCTGAAGGTGACACACAGAGAGCACATGTTTGTTTATTGTGGTATACTAATGCTTTAATATATAGAAAGAAAATGCCTTGGGTTTTCTCTCCTTCAAATGCCTTTCAGTTTTGATTTGAACTGGTAAGACAGGACCATTGCCATTTCAAAGATACATTTTTTTGGCCCATCACCCTTTTTAACTTTTGGTTTGGGAGGATTTATGTTTTGGTTCATGCAAAGTTTCGTAGCAGTCTTCTATTTTTGGAGACAGTTTGGGGCCTGGTTTCACATTTTACCATCTCAACACGGGTCTTTGATGTGACTAACAGAGACTAGAGACTAAAATGACTGAAACAGCGAAAACAAGGCTGTGCACCACCTCTGTTAGGTGTCATCCACAGCACTGCAGTATATCAGTGTAATACAGAAGTCATACAGCTTCTCTATTTGTCTTCTTGCATACTGTAATTGACAAACACAACTGAGCTTCAAGACAATAGTGCAGAAACATTCTTAGATAGTGTTAACTAAACGGATTATTGTTGCAGTATTTTACATTTGTTATCACTTATGGAAACTGAAACACTAACTTCAGACTTTCATTAATCTGGCTGTTATATTTAGCTACATTTGACAACCAATACTGCCAATGGACCTGTGTGACAGTGAAAATATGATTAGGTGTTGTAGGAATCTTTTTTGCTACCTCAGAGTGAGCCATCTTTAGCTAATATTCTTACACGTGTTTACCATGTTTTTGAGACATTATCAACCCACCGTGCTCTGAATGACTCATGGAAAGAAAACCAACGAAGCAGAACCCTCAATACTCTAGAAATGCCCTACTTATTTTCCCCTTCTCATTCATGCATACAGTTCACTGCGGCAAGAAAAACATCCAGTGTGCAATACAATGAGTATCATCACAACTGATCAAAGCTGTTAAAATCATCTTGTCTGTTGACGCACGCGCTTTTGGATTTCTGTGCATGTGCATTGTTGTCCCAGTGAGGTCCCCAGTGATCAGTCAGAAGCTCCCAGGGTATGTCCGAGAGCAGGGCTACTGTGTGCCTGCTGTGCGTCTCTGCTCAGTTTTTTCCACTGTCTCGCCTCTGGGAAAGCGTCTGACAAAGGTGCTGTCTTTCCCTATAGAACCTCAGCACCCAGGGGCAAGTGTGTGAGTGTGCAACTCTCGCACTATTACAGGACACACAGCGATTCCGTTTTACATTTTGCGACTATAGTTCTGCATGAGGAGGTGAGAAAAATAAAAGGCCTGCTATTTCATTTAATTCCCATCTTTTTTCAGTGATGAGAGTTGACCTTAGAAATGAAAGGTCACAGACTTTAAGGTGTGTGTGCTGCTTTTGCTAATTCTGGTGCATTCACAGACCTCAAACGGCAGTTGTCGTACGGGAAAACATCCAGAATTAGCTGATGTGAGAGTCACAGCCAGGCTTTTCCTGCCTGTCTTGGCCTTTAGGCCCTCAGCAAACCTAATAAACCACATACAGTTCTATAGCTAAGTCCACGCCGTTTGGCTGGAGGTATAGCTATATTTACCCAGCTAGTCATGTGGCGGTGATAGTCGTCGTTTGGTTATATCTGAGAGGAGAGGAACTTTCTATAAAACACTTAGATAAAGATCTTTCTGCCCTGTTTAGAGCATATGTCCCACTTCCCTCTCTTCTCACCATTAACATGTCTTGATATGAGGTTAAATTGTCTCACTTCTGGTAAAAAAAAACGGAACAGCGGGACCCGAGTTCCATTCTTTGTGGTGGTTGTTAGTTAGACGGACCAATACTGGTTTTTCTGGTCCTTTTCTTAAAAGCAAGAGCTATTTGTCCGCAGTGTGCCCCATTTTACTGTAGAGGCAATGGCAAAACAAGTTCATCTGCAGCTGTCAGGGTTGAGGTGTGTCTTGTCTCTGCAGTATATTCAGCACAGTGGATATCACAGGACTTTATAAGGTAATAAAAAGGGCAAAGAGGTGGATTCCTCCAGAAATGCCCCACATGCCTGTGTGCCAAGCTTACATTGAGGGACAGCGGGCACTTTAGGGGTCGTGGGAACACAGGCGCCATATCCGCTCAGGCACCATCAGGAGAGACAGGGAACTAAATATAGAGATGTCCAATACATGTCCAGTATTAAGGGGAAAAACCAGTGAAAACTCCTCTGGGCTTTGGAGAAGCACTATATGGTCAGGTCAGTGGAGTCAGACCACCACTTTATGGAGTCGTTTGACTGATAGTGGAATGTAAAATGGCGATAACTCACACATAGAGCAAATTTTATTTATGCGTTTGAATTATGCCACGTTTCAACCGCAGGAACTTTCCCCCAGGGATTAGGAACCTTTGGAGGAACTTGCGTTTCCACCACAGGGACCAGGGTTTCTGCAGACATCATTTATTATTTTACCCCCCAAAAAGTCCCTGCTTGGGGGGGGTAGTGCTTTCCAAAAGTACAGGAACTTTGGGGGTGGGGCTTGCAATGCTAAACATTTCTGATTGGTTGAGTACTCACAGACGTTTATTTCAGCCTCCATTTTTAAAAATCTGCAGCAGCAAACCCGTTTGTTTTTTGTTCATTGTGCCTTGACACATCAGTCTGAGCCACACTTCCACCCAAAGTGTCAGAAATTTTAGTCCCAGGAACTGTTCCTTCAGCCCAATGTTGTCTGTTGTCTTTCATAAGACCTCGGAAGGTTAAGCAAATTAGTCAGCTGACAAAATTTTACACGTCATTTTTGCGTGCAGATTGTGCATGGGCGTCGTCGGTCCTTCTGTCATGTAAAATGAGCACAATGAACAAATGAAAGAGAAGAAAGCATATGACAAATGGACTGATGTCCAGTCCTCATTGTTATATAGTTGCGTGCAAAAATGTTGTGTAAAAACAGACATCGCTTTTTATACAACAGGACAAGACTAATATGCCTCATCTTCGCAGGTCTTTAGACCACAGTGGAAATGCAGACAACAACGGGCTGAAGGAACCTTTTAGTTCCTTTGAAAAGTATGAAAATAAACTTTGGGTGGAAACGCGGCTATAGTGTTTTATGTTTTTTTTGCTGCATGGTTGTCTCCCATAATGCAAAGAGTGAAAATAATCCCCTGATTTCACATGTGCCCAGCTCTATACGGTCCTGCAGGGGTAGCGTAAGCACAGGGGTTTTTCTAGACCGAGGGAAACAGAAAAACATGGACATTCTCAAGCCAACCACAATCCATCCATGCCTTTGCCTTCTGCCCCTCAAAATCTTGCTTTTTTCTGACCTGGCTGTGCATGAGAGAGGAGTGGGTGGCTTTTAGCTTCACCCATCTTTCAAAAACACACTGTTTTCCTTCTACTGTTTGGTTTTAGCTATTGCCTGATGAACCTTTAAAAGGAGCTATCGACTGTATTTTTAACCCTGTCTCTTGGGGCTGTGCGGTGCAGTCGAGCACTGTGCTGCTGGCCCCGGGGTAACCCAGACTGTGGGGGTGTCAGACTGTGCGGACTGCAGGCCCGGCAAGGGCCGCTCTAACTTTAGACTGCATCGCCTCATGGTGGTAAAAATAAACACCCTGCCCTAACCAAGGGGGAAGGGACTTGAGTCACCTAAACCAAATGGGGGACATTTTCCCACCAGAATTACATGAATGTGGAAAGAAGTATTACTGAATATTTGTACTGTTGTTATTGTAAAATGTAGATGTACAAGAATAAACCACTATGGCTTATGTGTACAAATGTGACGTTTACCCTCAAGATACATTTTTCACAAAACTTTTATTTTCCTTGAACTAGAGAATAAAATAAATATATTTGCGTTTAATATTACATTAATTTGCTGAAGGTCTGTGCAGCATTATGAATGCATATAACATATTGTATTCTGTTAATATAACGTTTTATTTTCTTTTACAGGTATAAAAGTGTCAGACAACTGAAAAAATGGGAAGAAAGAAAATACAAATTTCTCGTATTCTGGACCAGAGGAATAGACAGGTGGGTCAATGTCCAATATTTATATATATAATATTTATATGCATTAAGAATTAAATGTAGAGTGTACAATGTACATTTGCCTCAGTGATATTTACGGTACATACACATTCTTACCTCATGTTTTGCACAAAGAGAGTGTAGGACAATTGTCACACATTAAATAGTCATAGCAGAGAGTGTGACAGCAATGTGAAAGTTGTACTGATTTGGATATAAAAATACGTTTTGTGCATTATGCGGCAGGGAGGTCGCTCCTGAGGCTAATGTGTGTAGGCATGATTTCTGAATGCTGCAAGACTGTGGAGGAAATAACAAATGATATCTAGAAGAGACAGTAGTGGGATCATAGTTAGATTTTACAATAATTGTAGCATGCATGCTTCTTTTTCTCACTTGCATTTTGAGGCCCGAGCTGGAGCCAAATGACTCGACTGATACGATGACCAACTGTTGTAAATTTAACAAAATTTGAAAGATCTAACAGTGACAGTGATATTTGGTTCCGTACCGACAGGACAGTAATGGCACTGAACAAAGTGCATATTTTAAAAGAGCGGCAAGGAAGGGGGAAATGATTAAAGAAAAAAAGTAGTTTTTTCACTTTGATGGATGATGAATGTGATGATGCAGGTTATAAATACATTTTACGCTTGACGTCAACTTACAGTCAAAACATTTACATACATTCTTTTGAGTACTGCCATGTGAGAAAGATTTTCACTTCAAGCTCGTAACCTATTAATATGTTGATCACTATGTATGAAACAACGCATCAAATACACACAAGGAATCAGTGTGGACAAGAATAAAAATGTAATAAACTGTGCTCTGACTGCTGGCAAATACGATTTGTTTCTCATATCTGATCTTTAGGACTGAGTGTTTTTTTGGTGATAAGTTTTGTTTTTGTTTTGTTCTTATCTGAATTGACGGTCTGAAGATAGACAGCGTTGTATGCTGTGCGGATTGTAAAGCCTTCTGAGACAAACTTGTGATTTTTGGCTATATAAATACACAAAATACACTGTCAACACTGTTATTTGCAAGTGATCCTGTGTTACGCTTTTCCATGAAAACAGGTGTTTTTTTTAGCAGCATTATACATATATTTTTTAAACAGCAGAAATCCATAATCTGATAATAAAAAAAGTTTGTATATTAGGCTGATTATGTAGCAACTGATCCAAATTGGTCAAAATGCTTTTCTTCTGCTGCAAGTTATTTCCATCATTTATTCCTGCAGAAATATTAAAGTTCATATCAACATTTTTTTATTTAAAAATGTAAATTTTAAACTTAAGATATATATATTTTTCTAAATCATCAGTAATTAGTTGAAGCTAAAGCGAAGATAAAACAAACCTCTGTGTGTTTTTTGTGCCATAGGTGACTTTCACCAAGCGTAAGTTTGGTCTGATGAAGAAAGCCTATGAGCTGAGCGTGCTGTGTGACTGTGAGATCGCCCTCATCATTTTCAACAGCACCAACCGTCTGTTCCAGTACGCCAGCACAGACATGGACAAAGTGCTGCTCAAGTACACAGAATACAGCGAGCCACACGAGAGTCGCACCAACACAGACATACTGGAGGTACTGTACAAGCTGCTATTAAAGGAAATGATAGTAAAGCATGATTTGGTCAGTTATTTTAGAGCAAGAAGCATTTTCAACTTTTCCAAAAAAATTATAGTGTTCATGTATCATTCTTGATTTTGTAAATCTTCATGCTACCATTGTGGGTAATTTTCCATGTGCACTTTCTGTTCTGTATAAGACTCTGCGTAGGAAGGGCCTCGGTCTCGACGCGTCAGAGCTCGACAGTGAGGAGAGCATGCAGGTGGCTGCAGACAAATATCCTCTCAGTGAGGGCATGGATCTCTCTGTGGCTCGCCAGCGCTTCTATGTCAGTCCACACACTTCTGCTATTGCACATAACCACACACGCTCACACACACGCGACCTCTGACCTTATGTGAATTCTTCTAACTGTTATTATTGTAATAAAATGACACAGCTCAAAATGTCCAAGGACAAAATAACAATATTCTTTTCACAAATTTTACATTTTCATTGACTGTTTTTGGATTTTAATTCTTATGCTGTTATCACACATTACCCTTCAGGCTCCATCACTCCTCTCACCAGAGGCCCAGTTCCTGGTGTCTGCAGGCTGTGAGAACAGCTTCCCCAACTCATCCGGATCCAGCATGGTGCCTCACAGAGCTCCGGGCTTTAAATCTCTAAGTACCAGACCCGGCTCTGCCAGCCCTGCTGCACCACATGCACACACTGCATTCATGTCTCCACACTCAGGTGAGCAGAACTGGTCCTTCTGCATGAAACATTACCAGAATCATTGTAACCACAAAGTGATTTGCAGGACAATTTGTGACTATTTTCACAAGAGTATGTCAATTCAAGGTGACTATGTGGAATAATTGCAGCCTCAAATGGCATCAATATTTTTCAATGTACTTTTGTACAATGTGGTTCTTACTATGAGAAAATGATATCTGCCATATAAATTAAAAGTCTCCACTGACTAAATCTGTCAATTTACAAGTTGGCAACGTGTCACAAAATACCACCACAAATGTTTGAAATATTGAGCAGTGAACAGTAGTAGATGTGAAACATTTAGCATGACAATCAAATTAAATGGTCTTCTAGGGTCTTGGTAAATGGCTGCTGCAAAATTCACATGTGTGCTGTCAACCTTCTGTGCAGCTGGCTGTGAACTCACAGGAAGTGTGTGTGTGTACGTGCGCGTGTGTGCGCACTAATCCACACATGCACTCGGCCTGTTTTGTGAAACTGGCCCTCCACCAGTGTAACAGCGACTGTAACCAGTTCTGTGGTTTCTGTACAGAATGTATCACACCTGCCACTCATGTCAACCTCTTTTACAGTATTCAACTATTTGGTATGATGTCATTAACAGTGAATATTTTAAATGTGTTATTACTGTTTTTCTAATAGTTGACAGTGATCAGTTCGAAATGGATTCTGTCCGGTAAATCGATAAACGTTAGCTTCCCACTGGCCCAATAAGAACAGATACTACTTCAAAGGTCAAACTAAAAGAAGAAGTTCGTTTTTATCGCACTTGTAGACATAAAGAGAGGGAGGTGAAGAATGTATCACAGAGAATAAATTATTCCTCTCTGTGAGTGAAACAAGTTCACATCTCTTTTCACTTCCTGCTGCTTTTTGTCGCTGTGTAGGTATCGGCTACTCCGTGTTCTCCCATGGCAGCCTGAATCGAGCTCTGGACATGAAAAGCCCTCCTCCTCTGAACTTGGGTGGTGAGAACCTGCGGGGAGATGCTGCTAATCAGGGCATGGGGGCCACACGTGCTAACCACAGCTCTGCTGTAAGTAGAGCTGTTACTATCCAGTGTGATCTACACTAAAAGATGTTAGTGAATCTAACACATAATGTACATGTACTGATGTGCCAGTAGATCTTAATTGTCTAGCAAACATAGACAAGCAGTTTCACTGTCACTTTTATCTCTCACAGATACAATATTCATGATTTATGCGCCATGCATGCAATGACGTAAATCTATCACTTCAAACTTGAGATTTACACTTATTTACCGCTATTTCTCTTTCCCTATTTATTAGAGGGGTGTCTTGTATCAGGGCCTGCACAGCAGCAGCTCCATGGTAGCCATGGGCAAGGCAGGGCTGCTGGGTCACAGTTTGGGTCACAGCTACGGCCTCCCCTCTCCTGGAGCCTCTGGTATGTCTGCTGTGTATCATCTATTCTGTGGTAAATTAGGGTGAATAGAATTGAATAGGAGTGCTACATTAAATATACAGAGCAAGGCAGATGAAAAGGTACTTTAAAGGAATAGTTCGACATTTTGGGATATTTGCTTTGTTTGCATAAACAAGTTGTTGTTTTACCGGGGGCTTGGTGCAGGGCTGTCAACCTCACAGTGCTGTCAAGATTACAGGAAGTTACTCCAACAAATTGTCCTGCACATAACAGTTTAAACAGATCAAAATGTTAATTAGTGAGTTTTAGAGCCAGACTAGAGTGTTTCCTGGCTGCTGGCTGTACAGTAGCTCCATGCTAACAGACATGAGAGTGGTATCAATCTTCTCATCTAACACTTAGCAAGAATGCATGTAAGTCTCAAAATGCCAAACTATCCTCTTATAGTGAAGATAATGTATCCTATCACTCATTGATTCTGTGTTTTTTAAATCCTGTCTTTGTGGTCTTTTTTTCATCTATTGATTTACATCCACATATTTTCTTTGTTTCCAGAGTACAGCCAACCTGGATTTTATCACTCTGTTAGTCTACAACGAGGAGCAGTGAACCCCTGGCAGCCTGCACAGCCGCCTCAGGAGCCCCATGGGCCTCATATAAGCCCAGCGTAAGGATATTAATGCATAATATGGCACTCCTGTGAGGACAAAATATGGAATCATGGCAGAAAGTTGAATCCGCTCATTGTTCTTTGTTTCAGCAATGTTTTTCTTGTTCACTCTTGCTGTGCAGCATTTCAGTCAATCAGATCTTTATCAGGTGCAAAACAGCACTAACAACTGTCAAAAATATACAAAAGAAAGAAAGAAAAGAGAACTGAAAAAAGGGAAAAATAAAAATAATAAGAAAATAGAGAATACAATAAAACTAATTTAGGAATGAAATGGAACATAAACTCACACCTTCCATATGTTCTTGCATTACGTCGGCTTCCTCTACTGGTTTTATTTCACGTATTGTTGTTTATATTAGGCAACAGAAGTATTCTTGTTGTAACTGAATTTAACTGTATCTTATTGTCATCAAGCTGCACTTAAGACATAAATGCAGAATTGATGATGTTCAAACTCAGACATTTCTTTTGTCTTTCCTCTTGTGCTTTCTAGGATGTCCAGTGGAGGGTGCTCCTTCCCCTCCCAGTCTTGCTCCTCAACCTCTCCACATCTGCCCTCCCTCAACCTCACCATCAAATCGGAGCGTAGCTCTCCTGAGCACATGTCCTCACCCACCTCCCCTCCTCTACACCACCTCAGGCAGCATTCTCCAATGAGCAACCCTGAGTCTGCTCGCCATACCCCTCCGGAAGCCCGTCCAACCAATGAGACGAAGGAGTTTCCCAAATCTGGCTACCCACAAGATGAAGAGGAAGGGGGGCAGCAGCCGCTCAGGCAGTTAGAGATAAGTGATGGGTGGCAGAGATAGCTGGCTGCTGCAGTCTAACACCATCTCCCATTCAATCAGCTATCTTCCATCAAAACCAGTCCTCTCTTACACACACACACGCACACACACACACACACACACACACACACACTCACACACTCAGATAAAACATAGAAGATAGCGAGCTGGGGTCGATTTGTCCCTATCATCCCAGAGAGGAATGCCTCTCTTTGTCTCCTCACACAGAGCTGGTCTCTCCTGGGCGATGGAGAATTTTCTCTGCATCACTTGATTGATCCCACGAGGAGACAGATGCATACAGACATTTGCTTTTTGTTTGGTTAGGTTTAGTTTTTCTGTGTGGAGCTAATGTGAGTCAGAAATACAGTTTGAAATGAGTTGGTTTTGTTCTGTGACTTTGTTGAAGTTAGCTACAGCAGCACATTGGGACCAGCTGAATTTCTCCAAAACATGGTCTACTCACACAAAACCAGTTAGACGCAAACCGTCACTGGAGCCTTGGCCTTTTTTGAAATACACTAGGACATTTTTTAAAGGATAAGTTCACAAGTCTGTCTTATAACTATACTCACTATGCCCAAGTGTACATTGAAATAATTTTGGCCGCTATAATTTCTCCTCCTCAATTCACCTATTAAGAGCCTTCAGCAGTCTGAATAAGTCAAATCAAGTTGGTATCTTTATCAATTTAGGGGGAATTCAGGGATAGTCAAGACTAGTTTATTTGTAGAAGACAATCTCATACAGAAAGCAAGTAAAAGTGCTTTACTGAGTAACATAAAGAGGTAGTTTTGCACTAAAAACACTGTAACTTTGTAAGATGTCCGGAAAAAACATATTTTAAGACAGACTTAAAGTGAATTTATCCTTTAAAATTTTGGGCATCAGTTTCTCTCAGGGACTTGGTTGATGGTTTCTTTAGGAAGTTTAAAAATGGCTTCTTTCTGTGTTTGTTTGTAAGACTTTAACTATGGATATGCTTTAGTTGTATTCTCCTCTAAATAATGCTGGTTTCATCTTTTTACTTTTCTCCATCTGTACCAAAGTTATGGCAGTCTACTTCAACTGAAGACCAAAGTGTTTAAATATTGTTCCTATGTATTGCAATCAAATACTGCAACATCCAAAGATGTCTATATTGGGTCTAATTTGATTTAAGTAATATAAAATGGCATCAGTTATTTTTCTGAAGGGCTTCATTTAGTAACTTCATATTGTAGATGTCACTGAGCTTTACTGCCATCACTGTCATCATCATCTTATGATATTTTGAAATATACGAGACACTGAAAAGTCTAAATGTTTGAAGGATATTTCGTAAAAACCCATCACATTACAGTTTTACTATGGAGAAATGTTTGGTTTTCATTATATCTGTAAATGTTCTTTGCACTGTATGTTTTGTGCACTGGACTTCTGTGTGTTTTAGTTTTGCATATTCAACTTTTGTTTTGCCAATTACAAAATATACTTTGAATGAATTTCCACTTATTGTCCACAAGGGGTCATCTTATGCCACAAACTGTGGATTTTAGATTTGAATCTGAAAATGCAGAGCAGGGAAGACCAGCCTAAACTATTGGTGATTAATTATCTACTGAATCTCTGTTAAAGGACACAGGTTGAGTGGTTCACCCTCTTCAAGTTCAAGTGCTGCTGTGGTCTTTTTCATTTTTTAATGAAGTTTGTGGATTAATATCAGCATGATAAACCAAATTGTCAGTATTCTGATGTTTTGGGTTGAGTTTTTATATGTTTGCTGAATGCTTCATTAACAGAACAGACATTTTTGTGATTCCTTTTAAATAAAAGCAGTTTGATTTGTACGTTTGCCTTGGCCTCCTTTTTCTTATTCTACAAAGGACACTTAGTTTATTATCTTTCTTTTGAGAGAAAATGTGATTCTTTTGCCACTGTTTTTCATGTACATTCAGTGTAAAGACAGGTAAAATACCATCTGCTGTGTGGCTATGAGGCTTTCATGTGTCCATTTATTTAGTCTTATTCACCTCTGTTTCATCTTTTGAACACACACTCTCTCATTATCATGTCTGGCCCCTGTCAGGCAGCTCACCACGCAGCCACCAAACGAGAGGAACAAGAATGGACCACTTGAAAGCCTGGAGACCTTTATGTCTCAAAAAAAAAATACATTCGGTGCAAAAAGGCTTATTTCCACAGCTGGTTGTCGTACAGTAACTATGCCAGAACATTTTCTTACCCGACCACTATGGAGCATTTCATCTAAAATCAGAGTCAAGGCCCGGTCCATCTTTGTCGTCTCTGCTCCCTAAATGAAAAGAGACTCTCAACTGGGGTCATGTCTGGTCTGCTCCCCTGAGACCAGGCTGGCCCAGTCTGTAGGGCATGTCTGGGTCCTGCACACTTACACACACACAGATCCTGGTTTCTATAGCAACCACAGCCAGCCATGGCTGCCTGACTTGGCCCGCTGCAGTCCACAGATCAGACTGAGGGGGCCTGAGGGCCTCCAGCACAGATGCACATAATTAATGTGATTATATAGATATGTCAGCCTTGTCACCTTTCAGTTCATTAGGCCGGACGCTCTCACAGACCTGTCACAGGCCTTAGAGAGGAGGACCGCAGCTCCACTGGTCATGCTGGGTGAGGATGCAGCGTACAAAAGCTCAAATTGTACTCCTCAATCATGTTATCTAACAATAAACAGAAACATTTTCCCTGGAAAGTGTCCCCATCCCAAAGCTAAATCACCCCTGCGTATGGGACGTCAGGATTGTTATCCCGTAACCTCCCAAATTTCTTCACTTTTGCTGAGGCTTTGTGATTGTTGATATCCTCCACTGAAGCATGTCCCAGTGCACGACAGCGAGGTGGCTGTCCCTCGCCATATTGGGGAACCTTTGTGGCTTTTGATTGGATGTGGAAGTCAAATGATATCACCAATAAATCACGTCAACTTTCAGACAAAGAGCCTCTTCAGTCTCGCTGTGGTGAAAGGTCACATTCCTTAACTTGTTAAATGAGTGCAACTGTTTTGATATCATAAAGCTTGTGAATTATGTTTCAATGTTGTCTGCTGACAAATGGAGAGAATTTGGAAGATTTGACGAGAATATGAGAACAGTTCCTGTGGCCGAGTTGAGCATCCACAAACAATATTTCTTCCCAGACTCTTGAGGGGCATCAGGTTCATAGTAATTATCAGTGATTAAAGAATGATCTTCTCAGGAGGTTGGGGTCAGAGATCAGGACCCAGCACAGCGGCGAGACACTCCATTGTCATGCATGATGTCTTTTGTCAATTGGAGCACCGATTTTTTAAAGGAAATGTTTTATCACCAGTATCTCCCACGCTCCTTGAGGGAAAGCAGAATTAAGTGGGAACATCAAACTGACATTGAGACTGAGAATAATAAAATGTTTTATTGAGCCACACAAACAAAAAACATTCAGGTTACAGCCAAAGGTTTGCACACCATGCATTCGAAAAATCTCAGAAAGCAACATTTTCATATGAACTTCACAGTATAATGATTTCAGAGCATTCAATTCAAATACACTATTTAAAAAAAAAAGCACACTTAAAATCTAAAATTTGCCACAAACAGAATATAAAAATGTACAGAACTGCAGCATCTGTATCATTTCTAAGTAACAAGTTATTAAAGGCAATGTATCATAAATAAATAAATAAATAAAATCCACTGATGCCAAACTGATTCTAAGTAGGCTTTGATTAATCTTACATGTACATGACTGATTGGCTACAAAAACAGCAAAAATACTAAAAGCTGACGTAACTAATTAAGAAATTTACTGCAACTGAAAATGTTGCCCGTAAGTAGTGTTTGAAAAGAAAAAAGGAAAAACAAAAACGTGTTTGGAGTGTTAATTTGATCTAATCAACTGATTATATTCATTCTAAATACACATGGTCAGAGAAAAGGGGATTTTAAAATGGACTCAAAATCCCTGAGCTCCCAGGCACTTAGGAATTCTGAAGGAAAAAGCTCTTCAGTTCTTGGCTAACACACAGCCACAACCAGTTTTCATTCACCTTCAACTGTGTTTAAAACAATAGGATGGATCTGAGCTCTTCTACTTATTAGCAATCAAAACATTACAGCAGAAAAAGATATAAGAAGATTTAGCACTCTTGAATCGGTTCCTTAGGGGGGACAGAGTCCCTCACAAAAATAAAACGTCTTATCTACACAGGGATTAAGCACTAATACTTCCCCTGGTATCAATTAAACATCTTATATGCAGCATTTAACAATGTTCTATTAAGAAGAACAATCCAGGTAACACTGGCATAGGTACATCTGAAAAGTTGCAGAAAAAAGTCCAGCTGAAGTAGCTGGAAGATGATCAGAGGCCTGTATTAACAGGTCAGCGGGATATCTTTGGGCTTAACTCTTGTTTTCCAGTATCACAAAGCTGGCCCACTTATAACGGAACTGATCAGAACGGTTATTATGGGATTTTTAAAAAAAAAAAGTGAATGTGGATAGCCTATTTCACAAGCATGGACCAGTTAAGCATTTGGTACCATGTTTGTTTCAATATGCTACATCAGTGTTTCTCAAACTTTTTATACTGTGTGCAACCTCATATTAGGCTCTCCAAACACCAGCATTATGACCGACATTAAAATACAGTAGTGTCGCAGTTCACGCAGGAGGCAGGTTTATTTCTAATAAAAGGATTATTTATTGTTGACTGCTCTTGAACCTTGAATGAAACCAGGTCAAGAACCAGAGCTAATTTGGTGGAAAGGGGTTACTTCTGGTTCACACTTTTATTTACAATACTTCCTGTTTGGAGCCACAAGTTCCAGTTAAAAAAAAAAAAATAGTTTGAGAACCAGTGTGCTATGTCATTAATAACAAGCCTCCTCCACATGGGGCTCGCCTGCTGTTGTGAAAAAGGAATCGCAGGTGAGAAATCCAAAATGTGGGCAAATTTATAAAAAACTGCTGAGAAAGTCAACAGAAGGGAAGAGGAACGGAAAGAGGCGGGACGGGGGAAGATGGTGTGTGCAAAGTACTGCAAAGAGAGAGAGACAGAGGTGTGTGTGTGTGTGTGTGTTTGGGGGAAAGAGAACTGAAGGGAAAAGCAAGGTGAGCAGATTAAAGCAGGTTGTGAGTAAACACTAGCAAAACGCTTGCTTTTCATCCCTGTCTCATCAACCCCTTCAGATCCCATATTTTTCTCAAATGAACTTCAGACTGGAGTTACCCAACCAAATATTTGTGGGTCATTGTTACTGAAGCACCAGAGCCCAAAAAATGGTAATCAGGACAGCCCTATTAGTAGGAATTTATTTCTTTTCTTCTTCTGCTTTAGCATCAGGAGGGGGTTTTTCACCTCACTGAATATCACCTTTTGCTACCAATAACCAAATTTCCCTGTGGGTATCACTGTGTTATATTAAGTACCTTTGATGTTGCATTTAATTAAAAACTCTGCCTCTTTCACGTGAATGCACCCGTAGTTGGATCAGTAAACCCTGGACTAATTGAGCCAGTTGATAACCAGCTTTGTGATACCAGTAATTAAGGATTAGACCTAGTGAAGCCAGGTAACCCAAAGAGAGCCAGCATAAGTTGAACTTGCTTTGTGATACAGGCCCCAGTTCTCTCTGTACATTTGTGTTATTGATACCAGTAGCCTGCTGGTCACAAAAAAGTCCTAATGGCAACAAGGTAGCCGATATTGCAACAGACAACGCCCATCACCCGTCTACTTTACAAACCTTTATCAAAACTTCTGTTGCTGCCAAAAGCAAGGTGCATTCTGTCTGTAGATATGTGTTTTAATGAAATGTCCTCTTTGCTGTCTGCAGCTCTCCTTTGTAACAGCATGAGGGCTGGGGTTGCATTGCAATCAGAACAGTATGTCTTCCTCAGTTAGTTCTGCATAAGGTACTGGTGGAAGTAGATGCCAAAAAGAGAGCTGATGACCTGGCAGGCAGCCACCCACCACGTGAGGAAAGCAAATAAACCTCGGAAGAAAAGTGGAGTGAGGACAGACCGCAGTGCTGTGAAGGCCTCTGAGAGGCGTGCTACTGTGGCCTGGATGTCCTCCTCCATATCCTCCATCCCCTCTTCATCCTCATCGAGACCAGTGGGCAGCACAGGTGCTGCTGTGGGCATCACCAGTGCTGGTGTCACTCCGGGGGTCTCCTCTGCACCGGTCCTCCAGGAGAAGTCGCCTACAGAGATCAGTAGGGATCAGTCAATATTTAGATTTCACCACTGAACGTTGAAGAAAGAGTAAGAAAGTAGACCTTTGAAAGAAACTAAAGCTTGTAATGTTGTAATGACACTAAAACATAACTACGGATGTTTCTAATATTTAACTGCGCTGCACCAGAATAGTCTACATCTTGGGAAATGTGTTCAATGTGTTTACATTTTCAATGTTTGGGACAAAGTGTGTATTCTTCTGAATGCAGTGGTCGGATGATGGTGGGATTTTACTTACCTAATGCTTTGAGTGCCAGTGTGGAGAACAGGATGAGAAAAACAGGAACCAGGTACTGGAGAGTAACTACAGTCAGGTAGCAAAAGATACGAGTGACCTGAAAAACAGCACATTTATTCTCAGTTTAAACATGCAGTTAGGGAATCTTCACCTTTTTTTTTTATTGCACAGTAAAGCTTTTTTTAAAGTCTTTAAACTCTTTCAAAGTTTTAGATTCATAGGATCTGAGCTAATATTCAAACCTTCATTATTCAAACATCTGACCTTCCTTTGAATATCAATCGCAGCGATGCGTCCCGCCTCCTTCTTCATCTGCTCCACCCACTTCTGAGACAGATTGAGGTAGGCCTGCATGTGGTAACGAGTTAGTGCTAGCCGCAGCAGACACAACGCCACGATGATCCACAGGCGCATGCTGTCAAATGCTGCACTGGAAACTCTGTAAGTTGGGAATTGTAAGAGGATAAGAAAAAGTCAGGGCTGGCCAAATGCCCACTGTGTCCCATTTGGAGGACATCTTGCATCAGTGGCCACTGTTACTGTCTCGAAAGAAACTAAAAGACTGGTTGTAGTGGATACAATAAGTAAATACGTATGTGCACTCACATTGTGACAGAAGTCTTCCCCATAGGTGCATTGGCCAGGAAGTCCCTTGCAATGGGTTTCACCCACAGAATCAACACAATGACTGGAGACAAGAAACCCATGTGCAGCAGAATCCTGCAGGAAACATTAAAAGACGTTTGAGAGAGCTAAATACTGCTAGTGTAATGTTTTAATAAGGAGGACATTGCTTGTTGCAGTGTTAAAAGTATCAGTTCTTACTGGATGAGTGGGCGGTCTGAGTTCATCTGTACAGCATCTAGATGAGTCTGAGCCAGTCGTAGGCCGGGGAAGGCCAGGAGAGACCCAATGTAAGCACAGATGGCAGCCAGACCGAGCTTCACTGTCAGCTTGGTCACTGGGATTCTGAAGAAAGTTATAACAACAATCAAAAGGTTATTCTGTGTGTAGCACAGATATTTGTCAAGTCTGTTACTGCCACATTCAACACAACACAACTTCTTCCTTAAAATAAAATAGTATCTATTAAGTAATCTTCTTTAGGGACGGATACTTACGACCAGTCGGCATAGCCCTGCTGTCTGGCAAAGATTTCCAAGTTGTCAAAGAGGCTGGAAAAGGCAGACTCCAAACCGAACTCCAGGTAGTCCTCTCTGACCACCAGCACCAGCATGGCCACGAGCAGAGACAGGAAGCCAAAGGCAAGGCACACTGAGCGCTCACCGCCCTCCTCTGAGCGGAAGTAGTGGCTCATCAGAGTCTGAAGGGTCTTTCTGCAGGTTGCAGGTTAAATGCAAACAACCAAGAGGAAAAAGTAGCATTCATCCAGTCCAAGACTATACATATATCTTTGGGAGGCTACTTTATCTTTATTTAATCAACTAGTATTAACGTATCAAAAGTCTTTTAATATAACATTTACTACTAGCATACATCCTAATAATAACATGTTATACTTATACAACGGTGACTAGATGCTTCATGATGTTTGTTAATTCATCATGCAAAAAGTTAAAGACTGCAGCAGTAGGGAAAGATTATTACGTTCTGTAGAATCAATCAGTATTGATGTTTAAAGACTTATCTGTTATGACATGAAGTTTGACTTTAAAGTTGAAAGATACAGACTGAAAAGTACAGTCAGGACACACCAGATGGCTCCAATGTTGACCTCTTTTCTGGCATCTACAACATTGTAGTAACACTCAGTGAACAGGAAGACACCGGTTGCATATACTGCAAAATCTACCAGCCACTGGTATTCCAGGAAGAACCGCAGGACTGAAATAAGAAACAAGAAAAAAACAACAACCCATTAGTTAGCTGAGATTGAGAGATGGTACTTTTTTTTTTTTTTTTTAAACATATGGTGATTCAACAGCTGAGCTTGAGCAGTGTTTGTATTGCACAATGTCATTGTGGTGTAGATAAAGGACTGTTTGCTTTACCAAGAGCATCAATGGCATTTACTGGAGCTTTCTCCAGGTGAAGGTCGATGTCTTTGGGCACAGTGAGAGGCTTGCTCTCCCCATTCTGTCTCCTGGAAATCAAACAAGAAAGGCTCAAGACCACGTTAAGAAAAACAAACAAATATATCTTCTGTTACTGAGTTTTACGAGAAGAAAAACAGAGAGACAAAGAACAGCTTATCTGGAGTAGCCACTTGTTTTGCTCATAAGCACTGGCAACAAACTGTAAAACTCTCAGAGTGCAAAGATCTCTGAATTAGATTTGTTTCCAGGCAGTTTCTTCCTCTGGGCAGCATTACTTTAATATGACTCTTTTCTACACACCCTCCCCCAACTCCCACCTGTCTCTCCTGCTCTGTTTGGGCATCTGTTTCCCGGCCAGTGCACACAGCTCTCCTTCTGACGGGTGTTTGAACCGGAACAAACTGGAAGGAAAGACAGGCATGTGTATGTAAACAGTCCACAGCACATAATGGCAATAATGTATCAGCTGATTGTAAGGGTGATAATACCTGCCGTTACAGAGGAGCCAGCGTGCAAATGAGCAATGTGGAGCCATCCTCTGCATAATGCTGGCAGCCAGCAAGCTGACCACCAGCTGAATTCCCATCAGCGCCTGTCAGAGAAAACACACACATGTTTAAGTATGTGATCCAACTCTGAACCTCCCATCTTGTACATGAAAACAGTATTATGTGTCAATAGGTAATGCATCAGAGATGGTCAGAGAGCAGGAATGCCTTGTCTACAACTGTGACAGTCAGTCAAGACAGTAGCTCATGTTGACTCGACGTGTAAGACCCAAGAAAGCGAGAAGAACAGTTTTTGTTAGACCAAAGGGTAAATTAGTTCACATATCACAGACTGCAGTGGAAGCTAAACCGCACAACATGCTAAGAAGCTAACAACAGCAACGTTAAACAGAGGATGTGTTGAAAGCCCTGCAAAATGAATGAAAGTTAGCAAATGGCTATCGTGCTAAATTTAGCTAAACTTCACCACCTGTCAGTGGTGCTGCAAGCGGTAGCAAGCTAGCTAGCTAGCCTTAGCCACACTAGCCCTCATAGTCACCAATACAAGCTAAATGAGCTCGCAAGCGAATTTTACAGCTCTTTGATAAGACTGGTAACTACATGTAGAGTATGAATGTTCTGGAAAGGGAATTAAATTACCATCTCTTCTCTCTAACGATGTAATTAAATCCCGAGGAGCTGCCGGAGGAAAGTCCTGACAGCTGAACCAACTGACATGTGAAACTGCTCAATGTCCCGGATGTACTAGTGTGGTCGCGCTGCCTTCAGGTGCTCCTCGAAAACTCTGTAAATTCAAAGCCTATTTTTTTTAAACAGCCGCTGATGCGACTGCTTGCGAATGGATGGGAAGTGAACTACATTAGCATTACTGAGGTACTGTACTTATTTTTAAAAACTGGCATTTTACTTGGTTTTAGATTTACATACATACATTTATTCGACTGTATTTATATATTTATTATATTTAAAAAAAAAAAAACTAATTTAAGCTGATTTCACATTGATAACAGAAGGTACTATAAAATGTTTAACCATGCAGTAGCCTGTGACACATGTAGTACACCTTGACCTCCTACTGCTGTCAGGTAAACCTGTAATAATAGACTTACCAATGGTACTAATTAAGTTTATGTTACATTTAGTATAGCAGAACCTTTCCAGTGAGCCAACATGCACAACAGCAGCACCCTGACTCTGTTTGACCTGAAGGGAACAAATCCTTAATAAGTATCATTGGTAACACCTGTGTTTACTCTACTATCTCATGTCAAAATGGCTGCTTTGAGTATTTTTCTGTTGCATCTTAAGTACATAATAAATAGCAGTAATAGCAAACAGGCTATTTGTCTACTCCTAATACCATTACATTAAAAATCAGGCAACTTGTTCCAGTGAGAATTAAATTGCACAGTTTGGAGTGTTGTTTTCGTGATTGGACAAAATTTCAAGGATGCAGAGAATTCACAGATTGGTGCAGTTTCAGTTTGATTTACTCACTAAAATCTCTCTAAACCAGGGGTCTCAAGTTCAAATTGACCTGGGGCCACTGCTCGTATTGCCATTTAATTGGAGGGCCACCTTCAGGTATTACAAGAAAGGGCAATATTCTGAAAATATTTCTATTACTAACATTATCCTTGTCCCCATTTTTCCCACATTTGCAGGCCCCCTTGACCTTTGCTTTTGTTTTGGGGAAAACCGGGGACAGCAGTTGAGATTTGTGCTCTAAACAGTCTTCTAACTGTACTGTATAAGAGATGAAAATGATAAAAATTGATATATGACAGCAATTAAGCTTTATGCAGTGCTTTGCAGACTTTCTTTGCCCCAAATTTCGCCTCTCAGGCTACAAAGAAGCTACTGCAGCCTGTGAAGAGGACTCAGGGCTGGAAAAACTCTTCCAACTCATAGGCAGTAAAGAACAGTAGAGTGCTGTTTTCTGCATAAATTATTTATTTTAAAGTATGAAGCCTCAATTAATTTAAAACAAATGTTTTTTCAATTGGCTTTGGTGTATTAATACCAGAAAAGCCTGATAACCAGTTTCATAACAATGTTTATTTGCTAGATTGATACAAATATAAATGTAGGAGACAGAATTCAGTTTAATTGACTTAATGTGTTCCCGCCACTTGTGAAACCAAACTTACACCCTTGAGTTTAATAACTTTATTGTCCAACAAATGAACACAACCAACAGTGACAACTAAATGCTCACTGGTCTCATCAGCCATCCTCAGCCTCACTATTCATCATCAGAAGGCATCAGAGCAGCCACAGAGGAACAGAGCTTTCATTGGCTCTTAATGACATTGACTGAAAATAATAGAATGATATTTAGAATAGTATAATACATTATCTTTCCATAATAATACTGTTGGACAAAGTGTTATGCTCTTAATACATAAATAAAAACATACCAATGAAGAAAAACTAAAGTATACGTGGCCTACTAAGGTATCCAGTAGAGCAGTTTTAATTTCGCCAACATGCTCCCGCTCCTCATCTCTAATTAAAATGTAAAATTGTATCCGTCTTAGTTCCTTGTTCTTCCTCAGTACCCCTGAACACCTCTGTGAGATCCTCCTAATGATAATCTCCAGGTTTCATGCTTCCACCATCATGTTTCTTAACATTTCATTGGATGAAAACAAACATTATGCAAATGTTGAAGCTTAAAGTCTCAGATATGCTCCTCTTGCTCTCTACTTTGGCATTAAAACACACCAGGGAGGGGGAGAGGGGAACGGGCCACACATTTTGATGTAATCATGAACTTAAGTATTATTTTTCCATTTAGATGGATAAGAATAAAGAAATACTTTATAATACCCCCTGGTTATCTTTGAACCTGTAGACAAAGTTTGTGTGATTGTAATTTGTTGCTGTATTATGTTGTATGATCTCTCTCAGATTATTATAAACCATGAGGTGTTTGGGGAATATTGTGGTACAAGGACAACAGCTCTGGGTGCACTGGTGCATCCTACTTGTGTGGTATGCTTGGTCACTCAGGATGAGAATCATTGTCCACACACACACAAACACACTGGCCTGTACATGCATTATAATGTCAGCTCATCCTCTGTAAAGCGGAGGCCCGTATGCCTCCAACAGTGCGCAGTGTTTCCAACTGCACGCCTTCTGAAAGATCTTTTACCAAAACCATTCACCACATTCAAATCTGTGTTTAGCATGTGCGTGCGTGTTATTTGGGTGGTCTGGTAAAGTTGATTGAATTCCTGCTTTCTGCTAATTGGTGGCACCCCTTCTGCTGAAGATGTGTCTGATCCTTTGCGCTGTGAATTTGCGCACGAAGGCATGACATTTCAATGAGAGCTGTGAATTTGATCAAATGGAGCTTTGTGCAATGAAGCAACCGTATCTCTGGTGGGTATGTATGCACCACTGGGCAGGCATCTGTAAACATAAATCACATAAAATTAGTTGTTCGGTTCAATATCAAACTCTCTGTGATATTGTTTGATCTTTATGAGCCTTGTTGGTGCAACTCGAGCCTATGAGGCGATTAGTTTGTGAGACTCAACAGCAAGGGGAAACAGAGAGATCACATTTTAATTAAGATTTCACTTTAGCATTTTACCTTTAAAGAAATAAAGGTTCTTGTTTGTCCATTTCTTGCTGCTGCTGAAGATAAAACACAATGTATGTTTGGCTGATATGATGAAATAGAGCATATGTATATACAGTATGACTTCTAGTGCAACATAGAGCAATGTGTGTTGTTTTATTCATTGCCAAACCATCATCTAACATATTTCTTTAAAGCCAACATTTGCCATCGACCTCAAGCAGCGAAAATATACAGAATTTATATAACAGAAATATTCTGTACATTTGCTCAACATCTCAGACATTAAAATGTTAGTCACTCTGTGAGAAGAAATGTCTCTGTCTGGGTAGAAAAACACTTCCATAATCATCATCTTTGACACAAATGCTAATCCCTCTGCCATGTTAGCCATCTGTGGCTGAAGTGGCAGGGCAGAAATTGCTGGAGGAAAATGGACACAAATAAAATGCTAATTCACCACGGGCTACAAGTGGCTCCCCTCCCTCTGCTCAGCTCGGGGGGCCTCTCGGTTCCCACACCACTTCCCTGTGTCTCTCCCAGGGAGCTGCTGGGATACCGGCGGCTGCTTCTGAGCCCGCAGCAGGGATGCAGCCCTCCCATTGGCCCGTCTTTGTTTGCCCCCATGCATGGTATTCATTGTCTGATTTGAATATATGCAAATGTTGCAATGGTGCCCCGTCAAAAGGAAACTCCCACCACCACCACCACTGTGAACCCCCCCTCCAATCCCGTCTCTCTTAATTTTCCCCGCTCTTTTCCCTTTTTGTCTCTTTCCTAGCTGCTGCCTCCTCTGCAGTGTGGGGGGATAGCTGTGGGAACCAGATCTGCTTTGTCACAGGGATTTATCTAAAAGAGGAGTGAGACTCATGACTGTTAATTATCAAACACAGACATACAGTATATCACAAGGAAGAGAGAAAAATAGTCTGTAAAGGTGATTCACTGGTAACACTCTATTCTTCCACCTGATCCCTCGTTAATGGATCATGATCAAACCAGATATCCTGGTCGTAAGTGTCAGATACGGTGGAGCCAGACTGATGCATGTCTTTTTGTCTTTCTAGTCAAACATGTAGCATGTGTCATGTGGCAATCAAACACGTTACATGTCTTCAGTGATAATATGAATTTTACCTATTGTGTATATATTGTTGGTTTAAACGAGCAAGTTTCTACTGCTAAAAAATGCAATAACCACAGTGCTGAAGTCTCATTTTTGTATTATTTCAAGACAAAATATGTGTTTAGTTTTATAAAGGTCTCTTCCACAGCAGATATGTAGATTTGTTTTAGTAGGAGAAGCACAAGTGTTACTAATAACGTTAACGATAGCTCTGTTCTTGAATGAGACAGCGAATCTGCAGGCACAATACCAGGACTCTTCAACTAAAGCTGCTAAATGGAATTCAGCTATCATTCATTTGCTCATTTACACCTGTGCTTTTCCTATTGTGACACGTCAGAATGTTTTCAGTGAGAAAGGCCTGTTGAAACAGTAAATCATCCCACAACAAGAACATTTCTAGAGTTATTCCCCTCGTTTTTAGATTTAAAAAGCCATGTTTTGTGCTGCAGGTATAGTCCTTCCTCTCTACCTACATCACAGTAAGGGCCCAGTAGAACTGAGCTTGTAGATTTCTAAAATACATACACATACAACATTAAACACAGATGAAGCAGATGTGCTTATATGCTTCGTATCTGCATACTGACTCACTGTATCTGGCCTCAGATTTAAACAGGAGAGAATTAGCTCGGCCCGATTCTGCTGTGATGTGTTAAGCCGTTACTTTGGCTTGTCCTCACACAGATTCTGGATTTGGACAGCACGAATCATTGCACACTTATACTGTATGATTACACAAATGTATGCTGTTAATTCAGTTTCAGTTAGCGTGTGTAGCATAGATGATCCCATGGATGATCCAGTGGCCAGCATACACAGATGGGTGATGTACATACACACACAAAGACATAAGTGTAATTTGGCACTCGCAGATGGGCCCCATTTTACAGTGTTTTCTTTTACATCTCTGTTTCAAATGAACACATATTTGCACAAATGTTCATTTACACTAAATTAACTAAATATTAAACATCTTTCTGATACTGACTTGCATACCATTTTACACAAACTCTTATACTAATTCATCTGTGATC